GTACTGTACGGAGAACAGTACCGTGTACTGTACGAGGACGGCATCATCACCGTTGTCTCCAGTGTCCGCTTTGACAAGTCTAATGTTGGCCGGCAGCGTAGTGCCGGGGACTCCGATTATGGGTCCGATGCCGATGAGGAGGAGGAGGAGGGGTCACACTGGTGAGGGGTCGCTGCCTAGGGCTGGCGAAGGAACATCAGGCAATACTGTCGGCGAGGGATCGCCGCATTTGGGTGGCAAGGGAGTGCTGGCTGGGGCTGGACCTTCCAGCAGTGCGAACGTGCAAGATAACAATCAGGGACTCGGTACCCAGTTAGAGAGCATAAACACCCTGGTGAGTGGTGGTGAAACGAGCCTGGTCGCACTGGTGTTAATGCTGCTTTTTCTGCTGTTGATGTTGTTACAGGGTGGTTAAGCTTCACCAGTGGCCTCCTTCCCGAGGCAGTTCCCTGCTCTCCCCTGCTAGAGGGGCACCCTAAGCCATTCACCCCATCCGACTTCAGAGTTTACTCTTTGAGTTTGGCAACTCACCACCAGCATCCAACTGTTAAGAATAGTAGGCAAGGAGACTGGTCGCGATAAGGGTTACAGTCTGTGGGTTAGTGGTGAATGGCAAGAAGACTTTAGGAGATTCCTATGAAGGAATACCGATCCATCCGAAGATGAGATAGAAAGACATGCACCACTCTGGTCTTATGTACCGATACCAACGGAAGTATCGTACATTCGCCCACCATCAATGCTGGGCACGAGGGGACGTCCGAGATATGCGGCCGGAGTCATCGCCTATCAATCAATCTTGGATATGCCCGCCTACCATCCTGCACTATCGTTGGGACAGGCGCGCCGGACCCGGTCGCGGTGCGCGACTGTCGCTGATAGGCGCCAATCAGTCAGGTGGATTCGCCCACCTATCATTCCGCGATCTAGCGGAGCCATCCTGACGGTGCCCAAACGTGCATCACTAACTACCGGTTGTGCATCGGCAGTCCCATAAGTGGCTGGTTAAGTTTCGCCGCTTGTCTCAGACAGACCCGGGGTCGAATCCCCTGTCCAACAATACTCAAGTTGGGATAAGTGCCGTTTCCTCAACACCAACCAAATTTAGCGGATCAACGGCGCGTCAACTTACTTCCTGGTCAGCTCGCGAGTTGATTTTATCACGTCTACACCGTCCACAAGATGGGGGGTCACCTCCCATTTCATCACCTCTCAAACACCCCGAGCGGTCGGCAGCCGGATTTGAACCTGGACGCGCTGTAACGCGTCGGGAGCAGAAGCCAGGCCTTGACCTCTGCCAGCCACCTGCCGCCTGCCGTTATTCCTGAACCGAATTCGTTTGCGGAAGCAATTGCAAGTCCACATGCAGACGATTGGAGGCGTGCGATGGACGAGGAAATCGCCGCCCAGATGGCTAACAGTACTTGGGAGCTGAAGACGCCACCTCCAGGTACTCATTTATTGCCGTGTCGTTGGGTGTATAAGGTTAAGTACAACGATGACGGCAGTGTGGAGCGTTTTAAGGTGTGTTTGGTTGCAAAGGGTTTCGAGCAACACGAGGGGATTGATTATGGGGAGTTGTTTGCCCCTATCTCACGTGGTTCATCATTACGTGCTTTATTAGCAGTTGCCGCAGCGTGGAACATGACGGTGCACCAGCTCGATGTGTCTACTGCATTTTTGAACGGCGAGTTGAAGGAGGTTGGATGCAGCAACCACCTGGGTATAAATCCAGTGACCAGTCGCTTGTGTGCAAGCTGGAGAGGTCTATTTACGGTTTGAAGCAGGCACCCCATTGCTGGTATGAAAAGCTATCAGCAGAGTTCGCCAAGCTGGGTCTTTATCCTTCGAAGTCTGATCCGGTGATGTTTGTTAAGACGGACGAGCGTGGGGTTGTTATTGCTTTGGTGCACGTAGATGACACCATTGTTGCGTGAGAAGACCCGGATATGGTCCAGGCTATTAAAGCAGCCATTGTGAAGATCTTCAAGGTGCGTGACCTTGGAGAAGCGAAGGTGTTTTGGGGCATGGAGATTAGGAGGGAGAAGTCGGGTGAGATAGTGTTGTCGCAGCATAGGTATATTGAGCAGCTGTTGGAGTGTCATAGGATGGTTGACGCCAAGCCGAGATCTACCCCTTTGCCTCCGGGATTTAGGTACACTCCTAAGGGGGATGGAGAGGAGCTGCTGGGCAATCCCACAGAGTATAGGGCTTTGGTGGGAGGATTGAACTCCTGCCCTCTTCTTCTGAAGCCCTGCGCTCGGCATTCCTCCACCACCCACAGGTGACAGTGTTGCCTCGTGGACTGCATCGCCTAAGTCTACCAATGGCAGCGGACCCGACTCAGGTACACCAATACATGCCGCTTCGGAGTCAGACAATTCCCTTTAACCTTGATGGACAACCGTTTAGATGTGGTACAACGTGCACCACCGTGGATTTCAAGACGGAGTGTGCAATTCCATGGCATCGATGTTACCGACATCTGGGATACAGCAACCTTGAGGTGTTGCTGTGTCACAACATGGTAATGGGGTTCAATGTTGATCAACATAGCTTACAGAGAGCCAGCACTTGTGTTTGTGAGACTTGTGTTCTTGCAAAGCATACATGAGGTCCATTTCTGCTAACAGGGCATAAGGCAGCACAGCTGCTTGCACTATTTCACATGGATGATTGGTATGATCGTCAAGCAGTGTTGTCACGTAACACGAACCGCTAGGTGAAGGTTCAGGCTTAGGTCCACACACATCCATGTGAACTAGTGCAAGCGGCTGTGCTGCCTTATGCCCTGTTAGCGGAAATGGACCTCATGTATGCTTTGCAAGAACACAAGTCTCACAAACACAAGTGCTGGCTCTCTGTAAGCTATGTTGATCAACATCGAACCCCATTACCATGTGATGCAGCAACACCTCGAGGTTGCTGTATCCCAGATGTCAGTAACATCGATGCCATAGAATTGCATGCTCATGTCTTGAAATCCACGGTGGTGCACATTGTACCACGTCTAAACGGTTGTCCGTTGTCATCGTACCTAGTAGTCTGCATCCACCTGATTGTGCCTGTGTCCCCACCTCGGTAGCAGATGGGGTATAAGTCGCCATCCCGCTCACCGGTCAATACTAGATGGTCCTGCACATACACCTTTACCTGTCCGCCACCAAAGATGATGCTACCACCGTGATCGAACCTTGACCATCGCCTCCTTTTCAATGTAGACCTTCTTGAAAGTGATGGCATGTTTGTCGTTGACGTTAGACCGAATAATGAGCGAGCCAACCTCTGTTGGACACAAAGACTGCCCCTTGATGCCCATTATGCTGAAGTGCTCCCATGTACACACGTATGTTTAGTACTTCTGAACGGTCATAAGTGACATGATGTGTAGATGTGGAGTCCAGGAACCATCCCGTCAGATGCTCACCGTTGTATGCCACGAACGCGACCTGCCTCAGAACTCCTGGTCCCCTGGCTGATCCACCGGACCCAGGCTTGCTGCTGCTAGCTCCGCCGCCACTGCTTCTGTTATTTTGTTCCCTTATTTTGTCCAGAAATAGACAACTGCTTCAGCGCTTTCAGCTGCCTGCAGTCCTTAACCATGTGCCCAGGCATGTTGCAGTAGTAGCAGGTGAGCTGCTTCTTACTGTGTCCCGAGCTGCTGCTAGCCGGCCCTCAGCTGCCATAACCAGGATTAGAAACGCCAAACATTGAACCGCCGACAGATGCAAAGGCTGCCGACTCGGTAGGCTTTCCGGACCCACCGTTAGCCGTCTCGATAGCTAAAAGTTTCGATGTGACATTCACCATGTCCAGGTCACCGTCGCGCATCAGTAATGTTGTCATCACCACGCTGTACCGACTGGGTAGACCAACGAGGACGGTGTACACCAGCTTGGAGTCGTTAATCACATGGCTGACTCCCAATAAGTCCGTTTGAAGCTGCATCGTTTGAAGCTGCATCGCACGCGCAAAGTACTTCGGAAGTGGCTCGCTGTCGACCATCTTAAGGACGTGTTCACATGTGGGCGAATCAGGGTTGATTCATGCGAATTGGACTCTGAATTGGACCTGATTGGACCCGAATCGGAATTGGGGTCCGGGGGGGCCTCTTCGGGTATGATTCGACGTGATTCACAGTTTTCTTTCTCAAAACAAAGTTGTTTAACAAACCGTTTCTCATAATTATCATTACAATACTATAGGAACATTTTCCAATTGTTAATTCACGCAAAGCGCACCGAGCATTTTTCACGAACTCCTGCAGCTATGTATGTACAAGCCTGGTGATAATTTTCGCCATAGAAACGATACTTATACTGTTCTGTTCCTAGATAATGCTGGCTTGCCTTGGGTGATGGGGCGTAGCCGCGGAGCTTCAGCTGGGCGCGGTGGCACCTCGCGCGATGCAGCGAATCGTATGTGAACACAATTCAGAAAGCCGCCCCGAATCGGACTCCCAATCAGACTCTCAATTGGACTACATGTGAACACACCCTAAAATGGCCGAATTCTAGGCGTAGAGCCACCTTGCGGGCGATGTTGTCGGCAACAAACATCGAACCCAAGGCGTCCCAAGCCTTCTTCGCGTTTGCGGCACGGGTAACCATTGGAAGATGGAGGTCCTTCACGTCCTTGATTAGCAGATTGACGACTTTCCGCGATTGACGAATCTGCTTCTCGTTGCACGGCTCGGCGAGCAAAGCCTGCTCTAGCCCAAGCTCCATGCACATCGCGCTGAACCGAATCTGCCACGTTGAATAGTTGTGGAGGTCCAGCGGCTCATCAAGTTTGTCCTTCACCATTTTTGATAAGGGGTAGAAATAACAAGTCGAGCGATAGCTGTCGGCGCTAGACGGGGCTCATAACCTGTTGGAGAATCAACTGCGGTGGCAGCTGGCGGCGACTGTTATTTCGGAACGGAATGCCGTCGGCGAAGATATAGGGCACGATGAAAAGGTTACAAGCAGAGTAAAATTTTAATAGCGTTCGGCAGGACTTTAGGAGATTCCTAAAAGGAATACCGCTCGTTGAAAGTGAGAGAGCGAGATAAGCGTGGTCACCGCCCTAAACACCGGCACTAGCGGAAAACTCATGGGTCGCCCTCGTACATTCCGCGATCTCGCTGCGCCGTCCTGACGGTGCCCAAATGTGGACCACTTAACTACCGCATATGCATCGGTAGTCCCATTGGTTTAGGGGTAAGCTCCCCTATAGTCACATGTAGACTCGGGGTCAAAACCTCTGGCCGACATTAACACGACTTGGGAGAGGACCGTTTATTAACACAGGTTACCTTGTGTTTGTTCCACTTACCGGAGACAACACTATTCGTGGCACCAGGCAGCCATCACTGAGCGCATCTGGTGTGCAAGAGGCTAGGAAACAGCAGTGGGTGGATGCCGAGTCGGTGGCACACATGCCACATTTTAAAGTGCAGCACCTTGTCCTACAGCCTGGCGGGTTGCTGATAATGAATGGCAACTGGTCCATGCAGGAGATGCAGGCAGGGTTGGTGAGTGGGCTCTTCGCCTGCACGGGTATGTACAGCGGTCAACAGTGGACATCTCATCTCTCAGTATGGGAAGGACTTCGAGGCCCGTTTCCTCCTGCCCCCACCCATGGCCGGATAGCTGCATGTGGTGTGCTATCAGTAATGTGGTTGGCTCTGTTTAACTTTTTGAAGAATGCCCTTTATATTACATATACATTTATATCGATTCCGCATCTTTTGCTTTGGGATGTGTTGGCAAGGGTAATGGACTGTCAAATGTCGTACATGAGTAAGTGGATTGGTGCAATCCGGATCTGTTAACAGTCCAATGTTGGACATGCATGGCCTGCAGCTGTGTACAATAGTGGTGCAAGGTGCCTTTGGCAATGGCTGAATAGCTGCTTGTACAGCAGGCTCATGGACTGTCATTGACATCTTCACCAAGTACAAGCCACCTGATGTACCAGTCAGTGTCAGCTGCACTGCCATCGATTCTTCAACAGACCCACCTAGCCATCTGGATGGCCCAAAGCTTTGCATTTGCCATGTCCAAATTGCTGCTGCACATCAATAGAGATGTTGCCTTGCCCGTTTTTTGGGGGCACCCTCATCCAGTCACCCTAGTCAACTTCGATGGCGGCCCAACTCCATTCCTGGTCGGCTCGCAAGTCAATCCCAGGTCACCACCGTCCATCGACTAGGGGCACTATACCTTCCACCATCGGAAGGATTCTCGACCCTGACAGGTCTCAATCCCGGGATCTCCCAGGGGCAAAAGGTCGTGCATTACCAGTAGTGCCTAACCTAGTATTGATTAACTGTCTCCAGGTATGGATCTGCCAGCAAAAAGGGTCGTCTGCAACAGATACATCACCATGACGATCCCCACAAATTACACAACATAGGATATTTATCAAAGGTTTCCAAATCTACGTTGGGATCAGACCGTTTCTTCAACATCGTCCCCCCCATCCTCAAAGTCTCAACAAGCCAAGGTACAGTACACGCCAATATACAAATGAAGGAGAAAAACGGTCGACCTACCCCACAGCACCTACAGCACCTACAGCAGAACACCAGAAAGAAATCAACTGCCAGGAAGGCACAGGAAGGCACAGGAAGGCACAGGAAGGGGAAGCTCAAGGAGAAGGCCACATGCTCCTGCTGCCCTAGTCTGTCTGCCCTGTCCCGTATGCCGTACTGCGGGACTCCCATCAATCAGTCCTATGGCCTCTCGATGTCGTGGCCTCCCTGCACCACTTCAAGCCGGCACCCTCGTCCGTCCATCCATTCGCCACTCCTGCCGACGGCCACACCACCCGCCCACCTCTCCATCATCATGCTTTTTGCTTTAACAGACTGCTAACACAGCGACCAGTGGCAGCTGGTAGCGGGACATGTTTCCGGTGGACGAAATGATGGAGACCGAAAATAAACCGACCGCCAACTACTTTGGCACGGATATTTACGTGGATAGAAAGAGGAAACCACCTCACCCAGCTCAACAATGCATGCATATAACGGTTGCCGAGGAGAAAATCCTACTGCTATACAGATTCCCGCTCACGTGCTACGTCAATATTACGGTGAAATGCTGTACGGCTAACGAATTCACACATAACAGCATAAGGCCCTTTAATCGCCAATTAATGCAATACATCAATCGTTAAGCTGGTGCTCAGGTTCGAAAGTCACCACCCTCACATCATCATGAAACCATACAAGTTATGGAAATGTCGATGCAGGGACGACAGGATAGTGGTTATTCGCAAAAGCACACACACATACATACAAACATACAAACAAAAAGGTTCAAAGACCGACGGTTCCCTGAAACGTTTCATCTCCAACTATGAAAGAAACCGTTGGATGGACAACACGTATAAATATAAAAGATTCACTGCGTGCATCTCAATAAGCACCTTGAAAAGTTTTCTTCTCTGCAACAAGGCTGCTGTTGCTGCTGCTTTTGCTGGTGATACTGCTGCTATCTCGGTGGTAGATAAGGATAGCCCGGGGATTGAGGCCTGGTCGGCGGGGTAGGTGGGGCAGGTGGGGCAGGTGGCCTACTGCCGTCCGGACTTGTTCAGCGACCTGCCTGCCTAGCTAGCTGGGTGGCTGCGTGGCCCCGGTGTTGCCCTGGCCCCCGCGCTCTGCCCCCTCCAACCCCTCTTCCCATCCACTTCACTGTCCCAGCCGTCGCACAGCTCGGTCCCGGGGCTGCACCCTCATGTGCAGTCCGGCGGAGGGGTTGAAGTTCATGGTGATGTCGTACGCCACGGGGAGGATGGGGGTGTTGGGTCGCAGGGGGGTGAAGCGGAAGCGCTGCAGGAGGGTGGCGGCCATCAGCGCCACCGACATCTGGGGACCAGGCGGGCGCCCCCCGGGCGTACATGCCCCCCATGCAGGGGGTCCACAGACTGGTTAGTGGTACTTAGGTGGGGACGGGACAGCGGTAAGGGTGTTGTCTGTTTGAACACACAGGGGGCGAGGCATATATGGGGGGCAGAGGGGGGAATGGAGGGCGGCTGCAACCCTGCGGGGATCCCGGGGTTGCAGTGTTGTGTGTGTGTGTGTGTGTGTGTGTGTGTGCGCCCCATACGGGAGGGGTCCGCGGTCACATGAAGCCACACATGAAGCCGATTGTCTGTTGTCTTGGAGAGAATCGAACAGGGCATGGGAGGGACACGCACCTAAACCCCCGAGGTCCCCTCCTCCTCCACTGCCGTCCCAACCTTCTCACTCACCAGAGCAAACGACGCGCCCAGGCACATCCTGGGCCCCGCTCCGAACGGCAGCCACTGGAAGCGGTGCTGAGCCGTCTCCCCTTCCGGCGTGAACCTGGTGGGGAGGGGGTGGGGTGAGGGTACGGTGGAGGTGGAGGATAGGGACGGAGGGAGGTTGCCATCAAGGTTGTATGTGTGTGTGTAGGGGGGGGGGGGAAGGAGGTTTAAGAGGTCACCCCCCCCACTCTCCCCCACTTCCCCCCTTCCGGAGCTGAAGGAGGCTCACCTGTCGGGGTTGAAGGTGAGGGGGTCTGGCCAGAGCGCCGCTGAGCGACCTAGGGCGTACGATGACATAAAAACCACGTCACCTGTCGTACAGACACGCGGGGGCCAGGGTCAGCAAGAAACCAAAAGAGTGTTGTACAGCTGTTACCTAGCAGCCATAAGGCTCTCTCTCCTCCTTGACCCCCTTCCGCCCTTTTGTGGGGCTGCGTTGAACTCCCCCTCACACCTGCACAGCCAAGTCCCCACATAAGGCCCGTCTGCAATACCCCCTCCCCTTTTCGTATCCCCCTGGTACCCCCTTCCCCCTCCTGTGGCTGAGGCTAACCGCCTATTGGGTGGGCCCTACACCCAACCACTCAACCACCACACCTGCGCTGACTGCATGACCCGAGGGCAGCACGTCGTCGCTGAGGGTCTCCCGCGGGAACACCGGGATGGCCGGGTACAGCCGCATACACTCCTTGACACACGCCTGGGGAGGGGGGGGCAGAAGGGCGGGCAGAAGGGCGGGCAGAAGGGGGGCAGAAGGGCGGGCAGAAGGGCGGCAGAAGGGGGGCAGAAGGGGGGCAGAAGGGGGGCAGAAGGGGGGCAGAAGGGGGGCAGAAGGGGGGCAGAAGGGGGGCAGAAGGGGGGCAGAAGGGCGGGTAGGGGAGGGAGGGAGGAAATCATTTGCTGCAAGGAGTTTAGAAATGAGCTAAGACAGAAGAAGGCGTCCAGAGTCCGAAACTGCCACTAGGGGGTCATAAGCGCTCAAGTCATGGAGGGGTGGGCCGGGGCCACACACCCCAGAGGCCCCCCCCTTGTCCCGCTCCCGCCCCACCCCACCGCGCTACCCCACCTAACTCACCTGGAGGTACGGCAACCTCTCCAGCGCTTCGCAGCTGGGCGGCTGGTCGCCTGAAGGGATGGCGGGGTAGGCAGTCGAGCAGGGTTGGAAGGGGGGGGCCATGGAAGAGGGGGCTGTGTGGGTGGGGCGGGGAAAGAGATTTAGGTGGGTGTGCGGAGACTGATCGAGATGACATGGCCCTGACATCCACTGGCAGACGTGTGTGTATGCGCCTCCCCTCCCCTCCCCTCCCCTCCCCTCTTTTCACATCGACAGCGATGCAACGACACCCACCCACGAACCAGCACGCACGCTAACCTAGCACATCGTCAAGCTCCTGCTCGACCCTCTGCCGTACATCCGGGTGAGCGGATATGCAGTACAGCAAGGCCGCGGTTGTGGTTGCCGTAGTTTCGTGCCCAGCCCCCATGATGTCGTGCACGTCCTCCCAGAGCTCCTCGTCGCTCAGACCCCGACCCGCGTCATCTGTGGCCTGTGTGTATTATTGCGGGGGGGGGGGGAGGGGGCCCACAGTGTGGAGGGAGGGGAGGGGGGTTGGAGGGGTTGGAGCACGTTGTGTTACGTTATGTCGGGACGAACAGTCAACGAACACCAACCAACCGCACCACCCATCCACCACCACCACAGAGGAAAGGAAAGACGTGTCTTACCTCCGGCCCCCCAAACCCCGGAACCCCCCGCCCAGCTCTCACCGTGAGAAGCGCCTGCAGCAAGTCGTCCCTACCCGGCAGACCCGCCGCCAGTGCCGTACGCCGTTCCTGAGGGAGAAGGAGGCGGCGGCGGCGGGGAAGGCACGGCACGGCTCACGGTGCATCCCCACCTTCCCATCACCCCCCCCAATGAACGAAGGGGTACTGGCGGGGGAGGGTACGGAGAGTGCGGATGTGTACAGTCTGCGTGCCGTACACGGGGAAAAACGGCAGCGCCAAACCCATCGACTTCCCCTGCCACAACTTCCATCACCTCGGGGCCCTCCCTGGACTGTTCCGGAAGCGGAATTTGTGGGCCCTCCCCCTCCTCCTCCTCCTCCCTCCCGTCAGTCCCCTCCCTCCCCTCCCCTCCCCTCACACCTCGGCCCCATCAACCCCACCTGGATGACGTCCAGCATGGCTCGCCTCATGATGCTGACCGCCTCATCCAGCCGCCGGAGGTGCGGCAAACCCAGTCGGTCCAGAACCTTCCGGGAGGCCATTGCAGGTACGACAGCCCCGGAGGTGATTTAGGGGTCCAGAGGAGGGTGGTGCCGGTGGTGGTGCCGGTGCAGTGCCCTCCCTACTGCCTACGGCCTACTCCTCACGACTATTCCCCTCCGACCCAACTCACCCGACCGCACACCTCAAACCTTTTGGCTGCCCTTAGTGACTCAACACCGGCGTCGGTCCCAAACCCGACAAGGTATAATGTGGCACACACACACACACACACACACACTCGCCTTCCCCTCCCCCTCCCCCCTCCTCTCCCTCCCCCCCTCCCCTCCCCCCTTCCCCCTCCCTCACCCGGAGCAGTGGCAGCGGGGTAATGAATATCTGGGCCAACACCTCCCCGAATGTGTTCACCGCCCACAGCACCTGGTCCTGGAGCAACCCGCTGTCACCCGCAGCACCCGCCAGGTCCCTGAGGGGGCGTGGGGCGTGGGGAGGGGGGAGAGTGAGGAGGGGGGGAGGGGGGAGGGTGAGGAGGGGGGAGAGGTGGGGGGGAGAGGTGGGGGGGGAGAGGGGGGAGAGGAGGGGGCAATGAAGAGGGAATCCCCCCACCCAACCTTTCCGTATCACCCCCTACCAGACGAGCGTTCCCCTCGTACTACACAACTTGGTACGGCTTCCGTACCAGCTCTCGACCCCCCCTCCCTACCTGCGCACTTGCTCCACCTGCCGGAAGTCGTGACTGAACGCCACCCGCCCCACAACGTCCAGGGTCAGGCGCTGGGTCTGAATGGCCACGTCGGTGACCAGCAGACCACCTCCGGAAGGGGAGGGGGAGGGGGGGGAGGGGCTCACCCCCTGGACCGCCTCCGCCCAGATGTCCACCAACTGCTGAGACCTGCGTGCGCGTGTGCGTGTGAGTGTGCGTGTATGGGGGGGAAGAGGGGAAAGACGAACCACATGTATGGGGGGTGCGTGTATGGGGGGGAAGAGGGGAACGGGGAAGGGCATTTAAAACATCATTGCACCATACGTGCACGTGTCAATTGAAAGCGGCTGCCCCAGGGCACAAGAACGCAAAAAAAGGATCCGAATACCAACGCATACATACATACACAGCGCAAGGAAGTGCGCTTCCGCAGTAAAAATGATATCTGCGTCAGAAACCCATCTATTTCATCCAAAGGTTCCCAGGTGAACTAGTTGAAGTCCAGGCAATCTCATAGGCAGGCGGCTGGCAGAAGTTAAGGCCCGACTTCTGCTCCCGGAGTGATCGGGTTCGAATCCGCCTGCCGACCTCTCGGGTGTGTAAGAGGTGTTGAATTGGGAGGTGGCCCCCCATCTTGTGAACTGTGTAGGTCGTGATTATGCCAACTTTCGAGCTGACCAGGAACTAAGTTGTGGCGCCGTTGATCCGCTAGATTTGGTTGGATGCTGGTGGTGAGTTGCTGAACCCAACGAATACATTCTGAAATTGGATGGGGTGAATGGATTAGGGTGCCCCACTCGCAGGCGAGAGCAAGGAACTGCCTCGGGAAAGGGGGCCACTGGTGAAGCTTAACCACCCTGTTACGACATACATACACATATATGCATAGGTCAGGCACTACTCGTAGAGCACGTACTTATGCCCCCGAAAGTTCCGGGATCGAGACCTGTCAGGGTCGAAGAATTCTTAGAAAGTTGACCTGCGAGCTGACCAGGAATGGAGTTGGGCCGCCGTCTATCCGGCAGATTCCGTTGGATGCCGGTGGTGGGTGCGGAACCTGAGCGATCCACTGAGAAGTTGACTAGGGTGACTGGATGAGGGTGCCCCGGGGAAGGCAGGGTCTGCCGGGTAGCGGCCGCAGGGTGAAGATACGAACCCCCTGTCCCATACATCACACATACACCGACTCGGGCGCACAGCCGCTTCCCTCCCCATCCTCCCTCCCCCTCCCCCTCCACTAGCTGCCACCTACCCCACCCACCTTTCAACCACAACCTTCGAGAAGCGCTGCAGCTGCGTCCGGCTGCGGAAGGGACCTGAGCACAGTCGCCTGTGGCGAGCATTGTACTCGTCCTGAGGGGAGGGGAGGGGCAAAAAGGGAGAGGGGGTTGGTGGAGAAGGAGAAAGGGAAGAAAAGCGAGGGGCCCTCGACCCTTAGCTTACATCACTACCTCCCCCTCCCCTTTTTCCCAACCTAATCCACCCAGATTCCCCTTCCCACCACACAATCATCACTAATCGCTACAATAATAAGCGTATTAGTAAAAGTTAATTGTATAATAAGTAAGACATTATTATTTATATAATAAAATTATTATCTATGGTAATGGTAACAATAATAGTATTTATTACTATTGTGATTGTCATGATTCCTTATTATTTATGGCTTTCCATACTATTTATTATTATCGATTATATTTTATTATTATAATTATTATTCACTCGCCTCTCTTAAAGATGGGGTATTCATAGCCTCTTGTAGCTCTTCTCACTCTCGGCCGGTGGGGTGCTCAGCCCCGTCGTACACCTCCCCCTACCCGACCTCCGCTAGACCTCCCGCGGCATCCCTCTCCACCCGCGTGTATGGATGCATGTGCCCACCTGCGAGCCCAGGATGCCCTTTCCGTGTGTCACGTAGGTATATATGTCGGGCAGGTAGCGGCGGCTGTAGTTCCGTACATTTGTGGCGCACACGTGCTGGATGTTTTCGGGAGAGTTCAGAAACACCCAGCTGGTGGCGCCGTTGAGGGACGCGGGGTTGGCGAACCTGAAAGGGTTACACAAGTACGTGCGTAGACAGGGACGGAGGGAGGGGAAAGGGGGAGCGACCTGAAAAAATAAATGTGGGCGAGGGGAAGACATTGGAGGAGGAAGGGAAGGGAAGGGGGTGGGTGGGTAGGACCGGGTGCTTTAAGGTTCGTGATGCATCTGGCTCGGGATGCAACACACGTGCTACAAACAGTACGAACTACGGAAATTGATCGTACCTGCAGATGGGGCCGTACTTGTCACTGAAGCGGAGCATGGCCACGTGGAGACCTTCCAGGAAAATGATGCTCACGTCCTTCAGGGCCTCGAGGCTCAGCGGTGCTGGCCCAGGGATCGGCTGTAGCTCGGCTGGATGGGCAGCCCTGACAGATGTTGCAGGGACTGCGCCGGTAGCGGCTGAGATCTTTGACGCAAGCTGGCTGAACGGACATTTTGATGTCTGTTGGTCGGGTGCAGCTGTGGAAGTCGAAGCATCAAGTGCTGATGCCGCTAAAGGCATGGCCTTGGCAGCACGGGCGCTCAGCCAAGGCGCGGATACAAGCGTAGGGCAAGCATGCGGACTCCTTGGCGAGCCTATTACTGAGCTGTTTCCAGAAGCTAGCACAAAATGATAAGTGGCAGCCCGCCGTGCTGGCAACATGCTCTTCCGTGAAGTTAGATTCGGGGCGATCCATGGGCTTAAAAAGGGCTGCAAAAACGCCATGGCTTTTGCGATGGCAACGTAAGATAGCTGCGCCTGTTTTTGGCGTTATGCCGTTTTGGCGTTCCGGACCTGTTTCCAAACTGGCAGCGCCTTCAAGATCTGCTGGTCGCCTTTAAACCCCGTTAGTACATAACGTTCACGGAGCCGAAGCCGCGTCAGGAAATTAAGCACAATGAGAAGATTTTATCCAGCAAGAATCGGCCGTACAACAGACGCTCTATGACTCTATGAAATACTGAAGGAGGGGTACATGTTTAAGCTCTCGGCGATTATTGAGAATTTAAATGTACATTGTTAAGAGGTGCCAATTTTAAGGCACCTTCCACAGTGGGGCTTAGGTTGTCCCGGTGCTATCTCCGGTACAAGCGCACTTTCCTTAAGGTATTGCCACGCATCTGCTTTGAATGCGACACGTATTGCACCTCTGCGTAATGCCAATACCGGTATACTTATTTGTGTTTTTGGCAGGTCAGGAACATTCCTTCCGCGACTCGGTTCTGGTCAGAGCGGAACAGCTGGCATCGCGATGCATAAATTTGTTTTCTTGCTATGTGCATTTTATTTCACGATCCTCATCAGGAACGCTGCCTGCGAGTTATTCCATCATCACTTATTTTTCATATGGCGTCTGCTTCCCTTTCCCCGCCAGCTCGTCCATTAAGTTGGCTGGGTGGGTTCGGAGCTCCCAGCAGGACTCTTACCTATTGGACCGAACGACAGGAAAAGATCATTGAAAATACTATTTTGTTTTTTTTAATAATATACTGTATGTTATTACCCATTATGCGAGAACATTTAGTTGACATTGCCTATTTGCCCGCGGTCGTTGACGGTTGGCCAACACATCGGCAATAAACAAGAAGCCTCGTCTAAATCCTGTCCATAAGCAAACAGAAATGGGAATTGCAGGCTGCCGTCAGGCTACTTAGGGGGCGGCAGGGGATGCACCGGCAGAATTGGGTATTGATAAGAGCGGAGGTGGGGGCGGCCGGGGCGGGTGAAAAGAATCAGGGATGGGAGAGGTCGGGGGCTGGGAAGGGGCCGCGGGAGCAGCAACGCATGGGCAGTATGAGAGGTAGGTGAGGGAAAGGGCCGGGGACCCCGGGGGCCCGTGCTTGTCCAGGCACTGGGGGTTTTAATGCCACGACGGGGTTCAATGCCACGACCCACTTCAGAACTTACAACGAGCGTTACCATAGAGGCAAAGATGACTGCCATGCTTGCGTACATACATAGCCACGTCTCCCCTTCTTTACTGAACCCGGATGGGACGTGAATGTACATACATACATGTATGTATCAGGGTTTTGGTACTACCGGTAACGCGCGACCATTCCCCCCGGGAGATCCCGGGATCGAGACTCGTTAATCCTTCCGATGGTGGAAGGTATTGCGCCCCTAGTTGATGGACGGTGGCGACCTTGGATAAAGCTAACCTGCGAGCCGACCAGGAATGGAGTTGGGCCGCTGTCGACCCGGCAGATTCCGTTGGATGCTGGTGGTGGGTGCGGAACCTGAGCGATCCACTGAGAAGTTGACTAGGGTGACGGGATGAGGGTGCCCCGAAATACCGGGGAAGGCAGGGTTTCGCCGGGTTGCTGCCACGGGCGAAGATATACCCCCCTGTTTCACACATCGTACATGTGCCTGCCGTGTCACTGCCCTCACGTACAAGGACGTGCTCGCCGCTTCCGACCGGCCTTTTAACACCCGCTGGTGGTGCTGCTGGTGCTGGTGCTGCTGGTGCTGCTGGTGCTGCTGGTGCTGGTGCTGCTGGTGCTGGTGCTGCTGGTGGTGGTATTGCTGGTGGTGCTGCTGGTGCTGGTGGTGCTGGTGCTGGTGCTGCTGGTGCTGCTGGTGGTGGTATTGCTGGTGGTGTTGCTGGTGGTGTTGCTGGTGGTGTTGCTGTTGCTGTTGCTGCTGGTGCTGGTGCTGCTGGTGCTGGTGCTGCTGGTGCTGCCAGCAGTGCAGACAGTAGTAGGTCCTTGTAAGGGTACTTGATTCGGAGCTGTTGTATAAATTTCGTGACTTGACTGTTAAGTCCCTTTGTTTAGTGGCCCTGGCCGCCCATCCATCACCACCGCTACGGCGGCGACTGCCCGCCAATATGCGACAACAGCTTTCAGAGCAATGCTCCGCCGCTTCACTGCTGCATGACTACGTGCTTGGGTAAAGTTGCTCTAAAGGGTTATTAGCTATAGCGGTGGTCATTTCGTTAAAATGGATAGGGCCGCTCATCAGCACCTCCCCATGCGCCAGTACACTCCACCACCACCACCACCACCACCACCACCACCATCACCACCCAAGCAAGTCCGTGCAGCCGTGGGTGGGTGGGCACGTCAGACCCTGCACACGACATCACAGCCCGCTATTGCGCAACGTCAGGTTGCATTTGCACACGTGCTTGTCTGTGTGTACGTATGTATGTATGTATGTATGTATGTGTATGTATGTTGCAAGTTAGTTGGCAGCAAGCAAATACGAATGCCCTTCCCCCCCAATGTGCTCTCCCTCCCCTCCCTCCCTCCCCCCTTATGAGGGCCACAGAGTCCTCCACCACAAGCACCAGCACCCCAAGGTACCACCGGGAGGGGTGTCGCTGCAAACAGTCTGCTCCTCCTGAGCCCTGTGACCCCAATTGCATGCCGTGAAGATGGTGGTGGTGTGTTTGTGCGGGGGGAAAGGGTAAAGTAGCGGGAAGGGAGCGGGGAATAAAGCAAGGCTGCCCAGCACCGGCCCAGTCCCCCTGTCATCCTCCTCCGTCACCCCAATGCCAGACAGTCCCTTGACAGGTACCTCGCCCTTGTGGGCCCCCTGTCCCGGAGGACATGGAGAGCTTCAATGGCGCGCCCTTTCAGCCTCCTCCCCCTCCCCCTCCCCCCCCACCACACACACACAAACAAGTTGGTCCCGACCTGCCTGCTGCTGTCCTCCGTCTCCGTCGTCGATTGCAACACCGTACCGCGTGACCCACAACGGAATCAACTAAGCAACCGAAGCCAAATAACCTGCTACTGCCTACGCAGCTGTAACTACTCCACCGTGTCGCCGCCGTCACCCTGTCGTACAATACACGACAAGGAGCAGCACTCCCCCCACTCACTCCTCCCCACACACACATCACTGATCACTCACTCGCCTCACGGGAACAAGCTCCACTCCACTCCACCACCCCCATCCACATTTCTGTGACCCGACACATGTACGACATACACACACACATCCCGCCACACCCCGCCGCCCACTCCACACATACACACATACATAGCACTCCCCCTCCGCCTCCTAGCCTCCCGCCCGCTCGTAGAAGAGTATGTAGCCGTGGTCCATGTTGTTTTGTCCGTACTCGGAGGTGGATCCGAACGTGCTCTGCACCTCGCTTTCCGTGATGGGCAGTACGGACTCGTCGTCGAAGGAAAGCCACTGGGGGCCGCTCTTGATGAGGGACACGTAGTGGCCTGAGCAGGACCCGGGGCCAGGAGGAGGAGGGGGACGGGGTGGGGGTGGGGGTGGGGGTGGGGGGAGGAAGTCCTTCCCCCTAGGCGAGACGGTAAACGGAGGCCTCTATCCGGGGTGCGGGTGCGGGTGGGGGTGGGGTGCGGTTCCCTTCCTCCCTTGGCCCTTAGCTATCCTTCCCCCTTACCGTGGTGTGGGCCGCTCCCCAGGTGCACCACCACCGCCGTCAGCGTGTAGAGGGTGTCCGCGGCCCCCGGGTCGTCCGCCGTGGTGTTGGACAACTTGAGCTCCATCGGGAACACGACCCGGTACATCAGCTTGCGGAGCCTGAGGGGGGAGGTAGGGGGTGAGGGGGTGGGGTGAGGGGTGGGGTGAGGGGTGGGGTGAGGGGGCGGATATAGTACAGCGCACAACGTTAGCTGCAAGCGTCCACATACACACACACACATTGCTCCTCAACCTCTCTTCAGTATCACAACCATCTCCTCCCTTCCCCTCCCGCCACACACACACCTCACCAGACGTCAGTGCCTCCCACGACCCACCCACCACCGAACCGGCACACCCACCCACCCACCCACCCACCCACCCACACACACACACCACCACCACCCCAGTCCCTCACCTGCCCTGCGCCTCCACGTATTTGAACCTCTTGAGGTGCAGGATGAGGCAGGGCGGGGCGGAGCGCAGCAACATGCGCTTCTTCGCCTCCTGTAAGAGAGGGGAATTCGGGGTGGGGAGGCCGGGAGGAGGAGGGGTTGGAGGAGCTCGAGGAGGGACAAACCAAATGGGAGTGGCGAGGTTGAGCCTGAACTTAGTTCAAAATACCGAGCGAGCGAGCGAGCGTGTGTTGTGTGTTGTGTTTCGAAAACGTGGCGAGAAGGATGCTACATCACCAACGATGCTGCAAAGTGGTGAAACCCAGGACGGCAGTCCCACCCCCAGTTCTGCTGAAATGCAACCCGTGTGCTCCTGTGTGCGGGAGGGGTCCCCGACATACATACGTACGTGTGTATCGGGGGCCCGGAAAATGTAGCGAGAGGGAGATGCGATAAAAAAACACAGTCGGAGAAGTGGCGCGAGGGGTCTGGGTTTGCTCTTCCTCTCTCCCCTCTTCGGCCGCCCTCCTCTCCCCCTCCAAATACACACACACACACACACACACACGCGCGCGCGCACACTCACCTGCAGGCAGCAGCACTGGTCACAAAAGAACTTGTCGTCCCGATCCAACATTTCCATGGAGCTGAGGAGGGGAGCGCGGGAGAGGGGGGGCAAGTGGGGGCGAAAACCCAGCCGGGGGCCGATTGGAGCGGAGGGTAGGAAAGGGAGGGAGGGAGGGCGCATGCACCAGGGGATCGAGGAGGCCGGCGGTCTGCCCGCCTCTTCCCGCCCTCCCCGCCGGGGCCACCTTCACTTCCCCGCCCCGCCGTCAAGCCACTCACCCCACCCGCAGCCAGCCCACCTCCCCTTTTCCCCCACCTAAAGTTCCTCAAGCACGAGGTGAGCGACGTGTTCTGCTCAATCTCCAGACTGAGGTCCATAAACACCTCCTCGCGACACGTGACCGTCTCGCAGTGCAGGCACCGCGTCTCGTTAACCAGCTTGCCCTGACCAGCAGGTGGTTGTGGTGGGTTGTTGGTGGTGGCGGGGTAGAGATAGGGAAGCAGGGCAAGGGGGGGGGAAGGGGGGAATCAGCACTCCACAACTAGCACCTCGGCCCATAGCTCAGGGGCCGGTGGCTGCAACCGGGGTCTCCTCAATAACCCTCTCTCCCCACTTTGACTCAGCAACCGGACCTTCCTCCCGGCCCCCCCCTCCACACACACACACACACACACTTCCACCTCCCTACCTGGAATATCTCATGTACCCAGGTGGTGATGGGCTCCCGCGGGGCCCCTTGCTGAGAACCCGGGCCCCCTCCGCCTCCTGCCCCTCCTGCTAGCTGCTGTTGCTTTTGGTTGGCTCTCGCCTCCTGCTCCAGTAGCTCACAGCTCTGATTGAGGAGGTAGTTCAGGAACTCGTGAGCATCCTGAAAGGGGCCGTGGGGGAGGGGAAGGGGAGGGGAAGGAGGGGGGAAAGAGAAGGTAGGATACGTTGCTGCTGGTCTCGTGGCTAGGTGGTGGTGGGTAGGGAGGGGCGTCAGTACGCTGGGACAGAGGACAGGACACAAGCAGGGCGGCGTTCCGAGTCACTGCACACAACACCGCGTCATATTCGCTCAAGTCCATACACGCCCGCACTTGGGGGACCCGCGTCCTCCATTCCAGGTAACCCACCTGGTGCATGTGTCCCCGGAAGACCTCGTTGTCGCGTTTAAGGCGCGTTACGAACTTCTTCGGCGACACCACCCCCACCTTCTTCTTGCTCGAGTTTATCTACATCGCATGATGGGCAATTGGTGGTACTCGGTACCAAGAGCGAGAGCTTCGACGCCTGACAACACCATGCACAGCCCCCATGCCGAAGCTTAAAGCTTTCCCTGGCTCGGTAACGATGCTATGCAACTCTAACCCCTGGACCGAGGCAGCATCGTTGGCCCCGCGCGTGTACCTGGGCGAAGAGCTCCGCAAGGCAGTTCAGCAAGTTCTCTTCTGTGTTACTCGGTAACGTTGCAGCATATTTTAACAATCGTTCTCGGAACGGCTTGCAGAAATACAGAGCTTGAAGCACTGAGTTGCAGTAGCAAGTGTTACCAAAATTTTCAAGTCCATAATATCGCTCATCCTCTGGGGCCTCGGCCAACGCCTTCTCTAGCTTAGTGGAGTTGGCCCCCATGCCGGCCTGAGCAAGTGCTAACCACTACCTATCAATGCTTTGCGTTTCCAAACTGATATAATGAGTTTCTTGTTTCTTATACCTAACGCCCTAACCGTAGCTTTTTTGTGAGCTTCGTCATCAGACTGCCACAGTGCTTATACAAAGTGCGCTACAAATTCACGTAGTAGAATATGATTAAAGGATACATAGCGACCCACGTAATTTCAGCAAATACATGCCATGGTTTCCTGGAGAAACCAACGACTCAAACCGAATTAGGTATCCTGTCGTTGGTGGAGCTGGTGTGTGCTGCGCAAGTCTGCTGCAAATTTATCATAAACATCCAAAGCTGCTTCTTCACGCCAGGGAACTTGTGACGAATAGAGTGGTTACGCACGAGTGATAGTAATTTCAAATAATGTTCAAACAAGAACCAGTCAAGCAGCCATGTTGGTACACACCGCATCGCCTTGTGGCCTACTTTTGTTTGGTGTTGCTCATGACATGGATTGACCAGGGCCTCGTGGCGTCAAACCAAGGTGGGGATGAAGAGAGTGCTCGTGCCGACATTCTATGTCTTGACAGTTTCTTCACATTGCATTGCAGTTACTGGAAATGACGATAATGGCAATCCACTTGGTTTCAAGAAATTGTTTAATCTCAACGGGTTCAAGCTGGGAGTCCTCCCTGCGTGCTACGCCGTTGGTCTCATCATCGCCGGCTTCATCTCCTCACACCTTGCCATGCATATCAATAGCTTTAGACTAATTGGAGTCGGCATGCTCTGCTGGACACTTGGTGTTGTACTAACCGGCGCCAGTACCTCGTACGGCATGCTAATCGCAGCAAGAATTCTCGCAGGCTGTGGTAGGTCTCAGTTACAATCCTGATTCCCAACCCACACACACACACACACTCTCAATATGGATAGGTCCATGGCGATTGGCAGGTAATGGCGACGGCGACACGGTGTTTGCCCAAGCCCCTGTTTTCCCCTCTTCCCCCTCCAGGTGAAGCCCCCTTACTCACCCTGACCTTCACCTTTGTCGACGACGTGGCTCCCCGTGCCTCTGCCACGTTGTGGTTCGGCGTGCTGGGTTTGGCGCCTGTACTGGGCATAGGGGCGGGCTACGTGCTGGCAGAGCCCCTCACTTCGGCGGCTGGCGGCAGTGGCAGCAGCACGGGGCTGCGCTGGGCCTTCTTTATTGAGGTGGAGGTCGAGGCCGGGAAGTGGGGGGGGGACCGGGGCCCCAGGGGGCGCCCCTCCTAAGCTGCGGGGGAAGCGGGGAGGGGGGGTGGCTCGAGGGCCATAAGGGTGTGGTGGTGGTGGGCATCAGTCCCCTCTCCTCCACCCTCTGCGGAGCGACGGTGACGATTACCCCCCCGCGCTGTGAGGGCCCTCTCCGGTCCCTACCGTGAGGGGGGAAGGGGGGTGCGGGTGGACTGCTACCCTGCAGCGGGCAGGGGTGTGTGTGGGGGGGGGGAGAGGGGGGAAAGGGTGAAAGGGTGACGCTCACCGCACCTGCTTCCAATGCAATGGTGCGTGCAAGGGCGGTGGGGGGATCTCTCCTCGCCTAGCACACACAGCTATCCCCCCACCCGGCTTGTGAAGCCGTACCGCCGTACCGCCTCTATCCCGGATGGCACCAAAGGGTCCCCTACCCCTTCGGGCTCTTCTTGTTTATTGGGGGGGTCCCCACACCTCCCGCCCGCAATCCCCCTCTCTCGGGGCTCACCCTGGACTGCTCCCACTACTGGCACCCCCCGTCTCCGCCCAACTGCCCCCAGGCCTTGGTGTCTATGCCCTTGACGGCCTTTGCGCTGTTCGCGCCTGCCGTACATCTCAACATGGCCACCAGCACGCCGCCTCCGAAACCCGCCACCGCCCGCTCAGTGGCCGCATCCCCCAGCTCGGCCACCCCCACCGCCGCTAACCCCACCACCACCACCACACCAGGCACCCCAGCTTCTGTAGGGACCCTTGCGACCGGGCTGGTGCCCCCCCCCCTCTCCCTCCCCTTCGCGGGTGGGGGGGATGGGGGTGTGCGCGAGGGAGCGGGTGCCAGTGCCAGTAGCGGTTCCGGAGCCCCCATTACCGCCCAGCTGCAGGGGTCCAGGCGGTACCCGGGAGGCATCAGGGGCTGTACGGCATGTGGGGGCAACCTCCTCAGCGAATCAGCCACAGCAGCAGGGGACACGTCCACGTCCACATCGGGCCGCCCGCTCCACCCTCCGCCTCCGCCCCGGCCTGCCGGGAAATGTGAGCACGTAGACCTGGATCCGGCAGCAGTAGTCGGGGCCGTGTCGTACACGAAATTGGAGGGCGGGCAAACACACACGCCGGTTAGCAGCAGCAACACCACCAGCAGGGCCAGCCCGTGGTGGTGGGGGTGGTGCGGCGGCAGTACATACACATACACACGTCCGCGGGGACCAAGCAACGCGACCGGAAGAAGTGGCGACGGCGGCGGCGACGGCGGTGGCGATGGGTCCCTCGCACTACCGCTGGCGGTGGGCTGCCCGCAGTCATCACCGCTGGACGGGCCTTCGCCCCACCACGAAGCATGCCTTCGGAATTCATTATGCCGTACATGTTACTGCCTGGCTGCGCGGCCTGGCGGCGGCGGAGAAGACCCCCCCGCAGCGGCTGTTGGGCCCTCGGGGGAGGGGGAGGGGGAGGGGGAGGGCCGCCGAGTAGTGCAGCGCTTCGGCGGCAGCGGCGACGGCAGCCTCACCCATTTGCCAGATTCGGTAGCAGTAGCCGTAGGTGATGATTTAGTTGATGGCGGCGACAAGGCGTACGGCAAAGGTTCACGTTCACCCGGGCGGCGGCGGCGGTGCCTGGGGCCCTCGAAGGGTGAGGGGCAGGGGGTGGCGGCTGTAGCTGGGGGAGTACGGGGCCCCTGGGGAGTTGGAGCGCCCTGGGAGCTGCTGCGTTACCCGGCCAACTGCTTCAACAGCTTCGGATACGCTCCCGTCCAGGTTGGTGGGGTGAGCTGTGTGTGGAGGTCTGTGGGGGGGTGGGGGGGGTTGGGGGCCGGGCAGAGGAAGGGGAAGGGACGTGCGGGTTGCAGCGGTGGTTCCTATCAGGGGGGCCGGGGCTGGGGCCCGGCAGTGGAGGAGCTCGAAGACCTCTCTTCAACCCCCTCACGGCCTTCAGCCCGTCAGGACTTGCTATCGAACTGCACACACCCACACACCCAGGTGGCCCCGGGTGTGTGTATGCATGCATGTATGTATGTATGTCGGAGGTTTTTACGCCCAACCCCTCTCCCACATCCCCTTCCCGGCCCCACTCCTCCGGGCAGTGGATCTTCGGCATGGTGTCCTTCTGGGCGCCCAAGGCGGCGCAGGAGATATTTAGGTGAGTTATAGACATACGTACGTACATACATACATACATCTCAATCCCCTGCCAACCCCTGGCCTTCGCAGTGTTGTTTGGCTGGTACGCTGTTTATTTGACTGGTTGCATCTCCCCTGGACCCAGAGAGGGAGAGGTGGAAGAAGTCAGTAATCTTACAGTCTTGTCTGGATTGACACTACTGCAATTAGGGTTTAGCGGTTTAAGGTCCTGGGTTCGATTCCTGGGGAGACCCCCGAATTAGTCGGGAGCGCGAGATTATGGCTAACTGCTGAGATGTGGAGATGAGGTCACAGTTGATGGACCAGATTCGCACGCTGGATTGGTGGCGATTGCCGAACCCTCCGTCTCTTCGGATGTTCGGGTGAATGGATGAGGAGGGGTCCCTGAAGGCTGGATCCGCCGCCTTGGACTTACAGTTCGTATGGCGAAGTATAGTGTGGTAGTGGTGGATGGTGCTATAAGGTGATAAGTGATCGTAGGATTGACAATGTGATAAAGCGGCCCAGAAGCCTCCCTCTCTGTAACATTACAAGTAATCTGAAGGTGGCTGCGGGACGTCTTGTGGTTCTAGCTCTCTGCGCCTTTCCTTTTGGAGGCCATTATGTGTTTCGTGTTGCTGCGGCCCCTGCTGCGGCCCTGTTGACCTCCCCCGGCCGGGACGCCCCGCCGGCCGGTCTCCTCCCCGGGTCTTCCTTTTGAGCGGGAGGAGTGGGAGGACTTGAGAGAGCCCCTGCCTGGAGGTGTTCAGGCGGGACTTGAGAGAGCGTCGTGTTTTCCCCGGGGGGACAGAGGCGCTGCTGAACTGCTGCGTCGTGGCTTAGCAGCCCGAGTCGGGGCGGGGAGCACGCAAGACTAGCAGACAATTGTGTGCTGTGCGCTCCCAACCGTTCCGCTGTGTTTCGGCTTCCGCCCCCCCAGTGTAATTGAAGTCATACATACATACATACATACATACATACATACATACATACATACATACATACATACATACATACATACATACATACATACATACATGCATGCACAATTCACAACTCCCGCGCTCAGTCGCTGCATTCGCCCTTCTTACCAGCCTGCCCCCTGCCCACCGTCCGTCTGTCTATCTGTCCGTCTGTCTGTTCGCCTGTCTTTCCCTCCGTCTCTCAACCTCCAGGCTGAGAGGTTCGGGACCTGAGTTTCTGATCGGGGTCATTGCGGTGGTGTCCGGGGTTTTGGGCACATTGGCAGGAGGTGAGAGGGGCGAAGGGAAGAGGAGCGGAGGGTGGCACTTGGGAAGGGGCTCCTGTAGCGTGCGTGAGCAAGTATATGTGTAGTATGTATGTATGTACGTATGTATGATGTGTGGGACAGGGGTCCATATCTTCTCCCTGCGGCCGCTACCCTGCAAAACCCTGCCTTCCCCGTTTTTTTCGGGGCACCCACATCCAGTCACCCTAGTCAACTTCTCAGTGGATCGCTCAGGTTCCGCACCCATCACCAGCATCCAACGGAATCTGCCGGGTCGACGGCGGCCCAACTCCATTCCTGGTCAGCTCGCAGGTCAACTTTATCACAGGTCACCACCGTCCATCGACTAGGGGCATTTTACCTTTCACCGTCGGAAGGATATTTCGACCCTGACAGGTCTCGATCCCGGGATGTTTGTATGTATGTTGTTAAAGGGTGGTTAACTTCGCCAGCGGCCCCCTTTCCCGGGGCAGTCCCTGCTCTCCCCTGCTAGAGGGGCACCCTAATCCGTCACCCCATCCGACTTCAGAATGTATTCGTTGGGTTCGGCAACTCACCACCAGCATCCAACCAAATCTAGCGGATCAACGGCGCATCAACTTAGTTCCTGGTCAGCTCGCAAGTTGATATTATCACGTCCTACATCGTCCATATGATGGGGGGCCACCTCTCATTTCAACACTCCTCAAACACCCGAGGAACCGGCAGGCGGATTTGAACCCGGGTCGGCCGGGAGCAGAAGTCAGGCCTTAACCTCTGCCAGCCGCCTGCATGCCTGTATGTATGTGTGTTGCCATGCAGTCCGTGTGGCCCCACTGCGAGGCGGAGTCAGCCACTGCCATTACTCCGTTCCCCCGTGTGGGACCCACATCGGTTTACACGCCCTTCCCCCCTCCCCCCCTCTCGGCCCCAGGTGTCCTCCTGGACCGGTGGGGCTCCTCCCTGGAGAATGGTTTCCGGCTGCAGACGGTGGCGGTGGCGGGGGCCCTGGTGTTCATGCAGCTGGCGTTTCTGGCGGCGAGGTCGTTCACAGGTGCGGGGTGGGAGTGGGTGGAGGGGCGAGGTGGGGCCCGCCAGGGGGCGGGTCGAGGCAGGGGGCAGGTGACCAGAGGGCGGTCAGAGGACCAGCTGGCGGAGGGGCGCTGGTCGCAGCCATGAACAGGGGCATGTGTACGGCGGAGGCGGACTGCCGTACGGTTGCGACGTGACATGGTACTGGTTGGCGAGCGATCTATGGGAGCACGCACACGCACACGCACAACGTTCGTGTGACGTCCGTCCAGTGAAAAGCTACCGGTGCCGCTCTGACCCCGTGTCGCCCCCGCCCGCAAACCCCTCCCCCTTTTGCCCTTCTGCGCGGCCTCCCTTGTGTAGTGTTTTGCGTGCTGTTGTCCGCGGGCCTTATCTCCTTATTCGCCGTCCAGGCCCCCTCCTACGCCCTCAGTATGTGGACAGTGCCGCTCAGGTACCGGCCCATATCGCAGGTGTGTGTGTGTGTGTGTGTGTTGGGGGGGAGAGAGGGGGCAGAGCACCGGGGTCCCAAAGGGGAATCTCAGCTGGCTGGGAGGGGGCGTCTGCCGTACTCTAGAGTACGGTATTAGGTCGGTCGGTGGCAAGGACTTTGGCTTCGCGACCGAACCGCATCCTCAATCCCCCGCCCCCGACCGCTCTCCCCAGGCCGCCATCATCCTGCTCCAACACGCCCTCGGGGATGTGCCCTCTCCCCCCGCAACCGTTGCGCTGCATGACGCGTTCAAGTTGGGCGGCAGTAGCGGTAACGGCGGTCGCAGTAGCGGCAGGGAGTGGCGGCTAAGTCTAGCCCTCTCCTCCGCGTACTTGGGGTTCGCGGTGGTGCTGTTCGGGGCGGGGACACTGCTGGCACGCAGGGGGAGGGCACTGGACTTCAGGCTGCAGCAGCAGCAGGGCCAGGAGGGAGAGGGCGAGCATGGGCAAGATGAGCGCGAGGAGGTGGATGAAAGTCAAATGTTGTGCGGGGTGTGCGGGCGGCGGGCGGGGTAGGGGAGGCGGGTGGTGAGGGAGCCTAATCGGGGAGAGCTGCCCTCTCTCGGGGCACTTGGTTCCGTGTGGACGTTGGAGAGAGGGGGGAAGGGGAGAAAGGGAGAGGAAAGGGGCGGGGGGCCGGAGGGACCAAGTCGCCAGCTGCCCTAGTACTTTGCGGTCCCGGTGGGGCCCATGAGGAGGGAGGAGGGGGGCCCCCCGATACGGAGAAGGGGGGTTAAAGTTACCAGGGGTGGGCCAAGTACTGCGTGTGTCGTGATCGTTATTTGGTTCCATTCTTCGACCCACTAACACCTGCTTGTGGTGACAACTCCGAAGCGAATTGGCGAATGAACGAACGACACTTTGGCAAATTCTCTCCGGGTGAGTGCGCACCGGCTGCTGCTGCTACTGCTGCTGCGATGGCTAGTGCTGCCGGACTTAGCAGCAGGGCGGCGGCGGCGGTGGCGGTGCGGTGGTGGTGCACGGATGGACGTAGGGCGCAAAGCAATCGTCACGTTTTACTGGACTACATTCTTATGGATTGCCTGGATTTGCACTGGCACGTTGGGGCGACTGGTGGTTGGGTGGAGTCTGGGTGTGCCGCCCCGGTCAGGTTAGGTCAGGCGGTGGCTGCAGTCCCGTGGGACCCGACATACCCCCCACCTGCCCCCGCCCAGCCAGGCCGAGCCGATCACACTACCACGCACGCGACACACCAGCACGTAGTCCACGACCGTGTATTCATGAGGTCGATATTCCCATATTGTTTCTCTAGTTGCATGACGGGTCCATCATATCGTATTCATTTTTTTCATCATATCATATTCGTGAGCAGAGTGTTAGCCTGGAGGGCGGTGAACTCACTAACCTACTTCTCGTTGACGATGTGTCACTTGTAGCGACAGGGCACGATAGAGCAGAATGCCTTCTGGGGCTACTCGAAGCCTACTGGAAAGCGACGGGTATGGCCGCGAATGCCGCCAAGTGCGAGGTCCTCATTTTTGGGGGTGCTACGCGTGAGCGGAAGCGGCTTATGGAAGCTGAGTACAGGTTAGGTGGGGTGGGGTTGCGCGTGCTGACCGGCAAAGAGACTGCACGGTACCTCGGGTTGCACTATGGCCCAGGAGTGCAGTTCTCAGCATGTACCAAGCAACTACTCACAGCAGGGAGGCGGGCCACGTTTGGGCTCAGCACCCTGTGTCGAGATAAGAAAATAACCACCCCCCAGCTATGTATGTCGCTCTACAATACATTAGTTGTACCGGTGTTTTTTTATGGAGCGCAAGTTTGGGGACCTGACTTCATAAATGTGAGTTTTGAAGGTGCTATGACTAATCCCATGGTCCAGGAACAGCGTGCATACATGCGAACCGTAGTTGGGGCGAGGAGCCCGACTATGGCTTCCCTATACCGCGAGCTGTCACAGAGGCCGCTCCAGTTCCATTGGACCAATCTTGTACTTAGGTTTTGGAACTCTGTGGTTAAGAGGCCGGGAACGCTGTGTCACCGGGCATTTGTCGCTGACCTGGAGTTGGCATTTGGGGGCGTCACTGAGTGTTGGACAAGCAAGGTTAGTACCTTGCTTGTCCAACACTAGCCTTTCTTACTAGCTTAGGAGCGGAACCCCCCACAAATACGCGCGGTAATGATCTTATAGCGTACTACGCCACCCTTAAATTGCCAGTTGAGAGCATTCTTGAGGTATTTGCCAAGCGGCTTGATGCACGGTGGGAATGCCCGAATACCTTTTGGGTGACCCCCGCGTTTTCCCCATAGGGATTACCGGAGCCAAGGCGTGTCGCTATATGAACTGGATGGGAGCTGCCCCGTCTAGGGGTGCGCGTCTCGATTGGTTGGAGCACACTAAAGGGACCATGCCCCAGCGACTCCATCATGTGCTCATGCGTTTTCGGTTAGGCTGTTGGGAGTTAGAGGTTAATAGGCCTAATGGGCGCCACCCCTGGCCAGGTACCTCTTGGAAATTTGGGAGGCCAGGCACGTCGCGCTGAGGCGCTTCGCCCTGAAGCGGACGAGGGAGAATTAAGATGACCTCCCGCGTACCCGCATCAATACCAATACAACGTCCATGGCCCCCCCGGCTTTTACGGACACACCCGCACTTGTGTGCGGAACTTGTAACCTGTAGCAGATTATAGCCCCAAGGCCACGACGCGATGTGTTGCGATGTGGGGTTGTGCACCGAGAGCTATGCGGTCTCCTGAGTTCCCTGAGTCCACAGCTCATGTTCATCCTAATCGGACAAGGTCGTGTGCCCTCGGAATTCACTGCGGGTGTGGCTCCTCAGCCCTCCCAACCCCTGCGCTGTTCCGCGTTTCCCAAGCTGCACGTAATCGACGTTTGGGAGGTGGAAAAACGGAAATGCCGTCAATGTTGTCCTCCTCGTAGTTGCGATCTCGTTGGCAGTTCTCTGGTTGTACGACGGGGTCTCCGGGGCTTTTGTGTGTCGTCAGGTCCGGAAGACCACCCACTGCCTTGGCCTTGGCTGCGGCGGCCTTTGGACGAAAAGACGGAAACCGCACCTTACTTACCTTCACAGGGGCAACGTCCAGAGTTATGCGGTCGTTTGTAGACAACTGGACCGACCTAATCCCGCATCAATCACTCCACCAGCGATTGTTATTCACAAGGCCCCATCGCCAGGACTGTAAAGGGTAGAGGGTTGCATAACTGGGCGGACGATCAACGCCCGCCATGTTGATTAGCTAGAAGAGGAGACAATGGGGCGTCGAAAACTCCCCCGGGTATATGCCGACTCTAAAAATGCGAGGATGAGAAACACTGTCTTAAAGACGCTGTTTTTAAAGATGAACTTCTGGGTTCCACGGCCATGAAGGAAGGGAAGCCAGGAAGCCCGCCAGCAGTCCCGCCAACAGCAGCGTACCTACCGGACTTCCCTAACCTGCCCGCGGCGGGAGCCATCAACCGAAACGGAGGCGGAGGCGGTCCCACACGCCCTGCCCCTTCCCCGGCCCTTCCCCCCGGACCCCTAACCTGCACATCCTCAATCAATCGACCGCTTGCTTCTTGCACCACATAGTCCCCCCTTTTCCCCCGCCTCCCACACCTGCCGCCATATCTTGGATGTATGCATGTAACCTCCAGCCCCCATCCATCCATCCATCCATCCACAGCAGCTCCTTCACTTCAGCTCATTCACCCGTACACCCAAGCGGCTAGCGGCCACAACGACCACGCGCCTGCAGAGATCCTCCCTTACCTCCCTGCTAGAACATGTTGGCTACTCATCAGCGGTCGGCAGGGGGAGGAGGACGGCAGAGAAACAAATCAGCCGCCCTTGTGCCCCTACCTACCGAGCATCACGTCCACGACGTGCTGGGCGGTCCGGATAGAGGTGCAGCTGGAGAGAATAGATCGGAGGCCAGCGTCGAGGCACAGCTGCATCAGCAGAGGCAACAGTGGCGCCAGTCCGGTCGCCATCATCGGACCATCAGAAGAAGCCCATCGCAGCACATTCCACCACCGACTGACGACGGGGTCACATGCCACGGCCACGGCCGACTGTAGCAGCATGCAGCGCAACAGCCACCCGTGAGAATCAACCAGATGACGTCATCTATGGATTAGTGCTGGAGCAGCCACCGCTAGGGGCGATGACGTCAAGAGGGCTCTCGTCTATTAATTAACTTGCCGCCATGCCGGCGAACTGTTCAAGTGTCCGTTCAACCCACGACAGACACAAGGACAGACAGACAGACAGAGAGGTTGTCGATTAAAAAAAGACGTGCTTTATACCGGTATATATGTACCGGCGGCCAAAAGCAAAAGCCATTACGGCGCTCTGCGGCGACCCAGCGATCCAGCGGACCGCGCCACAGCCACAGCCGCAATGCTCACAGCCCCCAGTGCGCCACCGGAGAGCCCCAGAGAACAGTTGCGGAAGCAGTCAACTCTCGCAGCAACAACGAATTCCAATTCAGTTCGTGCGCCGGTGACCTTGGCTTCTCCTCGCTTCAGCGGTTCAGACATTCACTAGCGGCGGCTGCAGTAACAGTAACCGGGGGCCGTGAATGGAATGAACTGTCATGGGAAGGTTCCATTATTGGGTTGATTGCCGCCTACCCGGGAGCCAAGCAGCTCTACCGGCATCTTGTTATTCCAGCCGCACCCGCTATGCAACTCGCTGTGGTGGCCCACATAAGCAATAACGTAAGCGGTCAGCAGTACATGTGGCTGTGTGGCACGCACACACGCACACGCAAATCGTACCGGCACAAATGCCGACTTGTACGGTACACGGGCAGACTATCAAAAGAGACGCGTGCAGAGGCCCCTCAATATCATAGTCCATGGCTCCCGGGCTTCGACAGGCACCCCGCATTCGTAACGAACGCGAACTTGTAACTTGTAACTTGTCTAGGAAGACCCCTCTCTCCATACACCCCCCTCCCACCACCACACCCCACACTCCACTACGTCCGGTGCCCCGCGCGCCCATGTCCCACCGGCAATGGTGGCCACCACCACCAATGGGTACCTGAGGACCCACCAAGCAGGTGTAGGTGCAGTATCCACCAGACGTATTCCACCGACAAGCGGCGGTCCGGATAGGTCCGACCGTGTCAGTCGCATCAGGTCGGGTTGTGACCACACGACCACACGCCGGTTGATCAAATGCGTATGAACGATATGATGATAACCAGCAAGTAATCGGGCTGGTCAGCTCCAATGTGCAGTGGAGGAGGACGGCGCTCGAGGCCACACCCGATCACACTGAGATCCGACATCCGGGGATACATGAAACGGGGGACGACCGCCAACACGAGGTGGCCACAGCCCACAGTGGTTCACACACACACACACACACACACACGCGTCTACCCCCCGGCCCAACCGCAATTCCAGATCCAAGCAGATATGTCTCAACCACCCAGACACTGCCCGTCATGCGCAACGCAACACAACACAAAACACAGAACGACAGCGCACTTCCAGCCCCACCCCCACACGGTGGAAAAAGGAAGGCATGGACATATCACCCCGCTCTCCCGCCCTCTACTCGCAACCCATCTCCAATCCGCGTTCAGCTTCGGCATGTCAGCCAAATGACAATACATCAACTTGCTACAGCCTCTAGTAAACCGCGGTCCTGAGTTCCAGCTACAGTTGCGGGGGCCCCCCAATGAAACAACAAGGGAACAGGCAACGCAATCAAAGGGGAGAGCTATTAAGCAATTATCTGCAAAATTGCGTCTTGAGTACTTACGCGTCCAAGAGGACGGCAAAACTGCCCGACCTGACACTCCTATCGCCTACCGCCAGCCTCTGCACGCGAAACCCGCTACCAAGGGATTTGCACCCCAACCACACTCGCATATGCACATACAAACACATATGGAGTGACTTTTCTTCGTTCAACAGCCGCCCCACCGGCGAGCGCGAGCGACACCGGGTCCGTGCGTGGGTCCACTGCAAAACGTCCTTGCCTCCTCTTATTTTAAATCCCCGACCCCCAACAGCAGCCGAGGTCAACGGAGTACTAGCATCTAGAAAGTGCCGGAGGGGGCGCGAGACGGCTGCATCACTCATGCACCGCCATCCGACCAACCCAGCTCCCAACGCAGCTCCCGACATGCACTGCTGGTCGACACTGCAGCACAGTAGATCAGGCAGTGGCGCAGGAGTCGCAGAAAATCATTGGGTAATTCGGCTCAATCATACGGCCGCAGGACAGTGCCCAGCGGCAACCCCTCCGCGCGTACCTAACCCCTTCTCCCCCCTCTTCCTTCCCCCAGCCTAAAAGCCAGGTCCGAGCGGCAGCGCACAGCCGGCGCGGGGCGGGGGCGAGGCAAGGCCGAGGCGAAGCGTTAGAGCAGCGGGTTGCGCCGGACCCGCTGCTGCCGCTGCACTCCGCGGCGACAGGCAGGTGGAGGAGAGCGGCCACAGACACACAAACAGACCGACAGAGGTGGTGAATCGCCGCCACCCCAGCAAGGGAGCCGCCTCCTCACCCGGCCTCGCAACCTCACCTGCCCTGCCCCGGCCCCGGACGGAGCCCCTCCCTCCCTCCCTCCCAACGAACGAACGAGGGGACACTGCCACACGGGGACCGCCACCGCACCGGACCGCCTCCTCCTCCCCCTCGCATCCACCACAACCTCGTCGAGTCACCTCACCACCACGTTCCGCCCATGACCCACCGTGACCCAGACAGAACACACACACAGCCCCCAAAACGTCGTCAAACAAAGAAAATGAGGAACCAAAGAAAATCCGTGTCGGTCGCGCGTCATGACGGATCAGGCTGGAAAGGGAAACTAGGAGCTAAGAAAGGGAAACGCAGACTCAGGCAAAAAGCCCTCAAAACTGTGAAGCCGCCGGACTAAGTTCCGCTGCTGATTCCAGCCAGCCACCTGCCCCCACCTGCCCTGCCCCGTTCACCCGTCGTACTATACCCGACCTACATCGATCCCACTGCAACTCCCTACCCGTCTCCTCCTTGTATTTCCCTACGAGCGCTGTTCCCGCCTGCCACACCGCGACCCCAAGCGGCAGCAGCAGGAAACGCTCCGGCCGCGCGGCGAGGAAAGTGCACTGCCAACAACGCTGCAACGCCTCGGCCTCTCTGGTACCGAATTCTACAAGTAAAATGTAAGGCAAGGGTCGCCGCCCCTCACTCGCATCCGCATTCACTTCCTATCCGCCGACCGCCAACGAGCCCACTTAGAACCAACACTTGGCCATCATCACTGTAGCTGCTGCTGCTGCTGTACCGGCTGGCTGCAGTTCACCTCACCTCATCATGTACAGAAACGGGAAAGGAGTTGCGGCACCAGCGGCAACCAAAGCAACAACTCCTCCCAAACTGTGAGTGCACAAGGAAGAGGACACGTCAATTGACACACGCACACGCATACATACATATTATACTAGGGTTTGGCACTACTGGTAATGCGCGACCATTGCCCCCGGGAGATCCCGGGATCGATACCCATTAGGGTCAAAAGTCCTTCCGATGGTGGAAGGCATTGCGCCCCTAGTTGATGGACGGTGGTGACCTGGGATAAAGTTAACCTGCGAGCCGACCAGGAATGGAGTTGGGCCGCTGTCGACCCGGCAGATTCCGTTGGATGCTGGTGGTGGGTGCGGAACCTGAGCGATCCACTGAGAAGTTGACTAGGGTGACTGGATGAGGGTGCCCCGAAATACCGGGGAAGGCAGGGTTTCGCAGGGTAGCTGCCACGGGCGAAGATACACCCCCCTGTTTCACACATCATACATATATGTATACACACGCATAAACAACTGCAAAACATCCCATGCGATTGCGCTTTATTCCTCACAAGCCGGCCGCCCGCCGCCCGCCAGGCGCCCCCACGGCGCTTGACAAGAGAAGGAAGGGCGAGTGACCCGCAGTGAAATACAAAAGGAAGAGGGGAAACACACATACACACACACGCGCGCGCAGACAAACGCGCGGTGATGTAAGCAATGTTTCTTCCTGACAAACAAACAACATACGAATGGGATGGACAGTTTCAGGCAGTATACAGATTTCCACACGATATGGCTCCAGCCCCTCCGGCCCTTCTTCGCTCCCTCCTGCTGCTGTCCCCGATAGGCAACCAGCCCCCAGACAACTCTTCAGCCAATGGATAAGCATCTCACGGGACGGAAAAATAGTACACACGCCAATCACGGGCCACCTCCTCCTCCTCCTCCTTCATAAGCTCTTGCTCTCTTTTCTATCCGCTGCCGACCGGCCACCCTCTGTCGACCTCCCTAATACTCCACACACACCCTGCTCCGCTTCTTGTTATTCCCCTCCGCCGCCGCCGCCGCATCTGCCGCCTCCTGCTGAATAACCTTCTCGGAGTCAAACCGGGGATAGGACCCGCCGCGGGGACCAGAGGACTGACCCAAACTCGGATGCAGTGGGCCTCTGTCCGAATGCATGTTCTTGTTGGCAATACCCCGGGGAGTGGGGCCAGGAGCAGCAAGGGAGTGGGCCACTGGCAGCTCTCCTCACTCCCCCCCCACCAGGTCCAGGTCCGCCAGGGCCACCAGCGCCACCAGCCGGTCGCGGACCTCCGCCGCCACCGCCGGACTCAGCACTCCCGCACCCGCTCCCGCAGCCAACAGCAGCTCCTCATCCCCCAGCACACCCCACACCCGCCGCATGAAGTGCAGCGCGCACAGGTGCGCAAGACGCGAGGCCGATCCCATAAAGTGCTGTTGTGCGCCCGCCAGCGACAGCGCGGCGTTCCAAGCAGCGGTGCCGTGCGGGTGCGGCAGTGTGAACCTGCGGGCCAGCTCGTCCTCTACGGCAGTCAGCAGGTCGTCCACCTGGTCGAGGGCGGGTGGGCGAGGGCAGGGAGCTAATGTGTGTAAGAATGAAATGCAGCAACGGAAAGGCGGAAGGTTGGATTGGATTGGGAAAGCTGATAACATCAGGGATGATGACAGCCGCGTGATAGCAACCGGAGGGTGTTCTAGATAACACCAGGAAAACGAAGACACGAAGAAGCTCTTACACTGGGAAAAGCCATTCAGTAAAGGTTGTATGGCTACAATCCATCAGGCGCTTCTAGCGCTGAAAGCCACCAGACGCCACGTGTAAATCTAGGCGCGAGTATCTGCACCTGATCAGTACAGAGGGTGTAAAATCCCGGGTGTGTGTGCCCCCCCCCTGTGCAACATCCATGCACCTTGACAGGCACGCACAGCAGCACGCAAAAACAGCTCGGCAAAAAGGCGTGTCGTGTGTAGCCATGCTGCTGCTTGCATACCTGCGCGTCTACTGCATGTGCATGTATACGTCCATGAGGACAGGTACAAATGCATGCATACATACATACATACATACATACATACATACATACATACATACATACATACATACATACATACGTACATGTGCGCGGGCGCCCGGGCGGGCGTACAGCCCTGGGGGTTGTTCCTGAAGGAGCGAAGCAGCTCACTGGCTCACTCACTCACCTGCAGGTAGTCAGCAGCCCGCCACAACTGCCACAATTGCTCCAGGGGCTCCTCTCCGCTGTGCACCTCCTCTGTCGACCGGAGGCTGGGCTCCCTCCCTGAGGCGTGTACCTGCGGCTCCGGATCCCCCGGAGGCCCCTCCTCCCCCTCCTCCTCCTCGTCGGGGCCTGCGGACGGAGCCCAGGCGGACAGAGGAGGCTGCGAGGCAGCGGTGTCACGCGGGGGCGGGTGCTGGAGTTGCAGCTGCGGCTGTGGCGGCTGCCGTTGTTCTTGGTGATGGTGGTGATGGGCATGGGCGTGGTGTTGGTCATGATGATGATGATGATGGTGGGATGGGGGGTGATGTTGCGGTTGCGGCGCCAGCAGCAGTTCCATGTCCCTCATGCCTCGAGCCCAGGACAGCAGCTGCAGAAACACACGCCTGTTGGCACTGTCGTCCAGGCCGGGAACCTGTGGGCGGCAGCAGACAGCAGTCGGAAGGACAACACAGCAGTCGGAAGGAGAACACCGCCTCAGGACTCAGACATCACACGGACTCGACTACAAAGCGGACGGGCGACAGCATGGGGAAAGGGAACAAATCAATTAATGCATGGACGGCAAAGATGGCGAACAACCGATTTGGTGAATACGAGCCGCTATGCCCTGAAGCCACAATGAGGAAGAAACGGGCTTGAAACGGCAGGGGTACCCTCCCCCCGCGGCTTCACCTCCCACTACGCCCACTACCCCAGCCACCTCAGTACTGACTCGCAACAGGGTGATGGGTCTCGTGTGGTCGGGCGCCCGGGACAGCCAGCCGTGCAGCAAGGGGGAGCAGCGCCGGAGCGCTCGGAAGCCTCTAGACGACACCCCCACCTGCGGATGCGGAACAGAGGGGAGGGCGTTAGTGACGAGGCGGCGCACTGTGCAGCAGCAGTCACGACGGCGGCAGCAGCGGCCACGTATTCAGTAGTATGAAGTACTGCAGGGACCCGGCGGCCTTCGCAGCAGCAGCGGAAGAAACGGTGTGACGCTCGTCATGGCCATCGACATCCACCACGTCCAATAACCGCACTCAGTTAGTGATTTCTTGGCAGAATATGCCGAATTCGGAATAAACAATTGTCCGTGGTCCTGAAAATAAGAATCAGATTGTGTTCCGACCGTACAAGGTTCGCGCCTCTTGGATGCGGTGCAGCGGGCAGGGCAGTGCGCACGGCCGTGTGGTGTTGGTGATGGTGGAGACCTTCGTCAACTTGAGCCCTCCGACCTGTCCCCCGTCGCAAAACAGCCTGAGGGGACCTGAGGGGACCCGACTGGAAATACCCCACCGGAGCGCTCCCCCTGCCGTGCTCGCACTCACCAGCTCACTGCCAAACGCAAACACAGCAACCTTGTCCTCAGCTGCACCTGCGGCTGCGTCAACTGGGGTGGCGGCGGTTCCAGTTCCGACGGGTCCCATGGCGCGGCGCCAGTCATCAGCACACCACGGACCAGGGGGGCACCGCGCAGAAGTCTTAATGGAGGCCAGGGCCTCAGCAGCCGTCGCGGCAGCTGCAGCTGTGGACACGAGCTTCACAGGGCCCGCATCCGGAGCCTTGCCAGCGGACCGAGCCCATCCACCAGCGTTGTACGGTGTATGCATATCCGCCGTACCGCCGTACCACTCCGCTCTTCCGGATGTGCTGCACCAGAGCACCTCAGCCTCAGACGCCTGCGGTGTAACCCAGGGAGATCGTGCCGCTGCTACAACCTCAGCGCCGCCGTCGGTTGTGTCGAAAGCAAAGGGTGCTACAGCCGCCTGCGGCAGCGGCGACGTCACCGCCGGATCACTGATGATGCCAAGGGCCGGTAGGGTGGTGGGCTGGTAGGCCGCCGCAGCCGCCGCACACGATCCGCCAGCAGCAGGCGCACTCCACGAGCATCTGGGTAGGGCAGCTCCAGGACTGTCAGGGGAACCTGTGGCGGCGGCGGATGGTGGCTGCCGGGCAGACATAGTCAGAAATGGGCTGTAATCTTGTGAACCTGCCCTGCATTCGTCGCCATGGCCTCCACCCATGCAGCTCACATCGCGTGGTGCCGTTGAAGCAGCAGTGGCAGCAGCAGCAGCAGCAGCAGCAGCTGCTGGACGATAGGTCTGTGGGAGCCCTCCTCCTTCCATAGCTGAGCTGCCTCCGCTAGCGTAGCCATCTGTCCTAGCAAAATCCACCACATCGGGAAACCCACGAAATGAACCGTGGGTCACCGGGGCATTTGGCTTGGCGTGACCGCCAACGCCGCCGTCACGGCAGCAGCGGAAACTGCTGACACCGAAATCGCCGCTGCTATCAGCACCACTACCATTGCCCTTGCCGGCACCGTTGTCCACTGCTAGCTGCGTATCGGACTCAAGTTCAACTTCTTCCGCCGCCTCGAACGCACCCAGCATAGGGCCAAGCCAGCGCCCCTCACTGCCAGCAGAGGCGTCGACAGGCCTGTTCGTGTTGGTTGTGGCTGCAGCCTTGGCGCGCGCTGCAGAGGCAGCGAGCGTGGCGGCGGCTGTCGTTGTGCCGGCCGCGCCAACGTTCGACGCCGCAGCTGCCGCGGCGGCCGCCGCGGCCGCAATAGCGATCCTGCTTGCGGCCGAATTGGAGCTGCGGCCGGCTGTAGCAAGCGAGGCGGTGACCATCGTTGCTACGTCCACGGGGACAGCGAGAGCCGCCGCGGTGAGCTGCGGTGAGCCAAAGTAAGTGTACGGCGGAAGCCGGCTAGCAACCGAGCTACCAGCAGAGGTCCTCTCCCGGTCGGGCAGCACTAGCTGCTCCATCGCCGCCACTGAGGTACGTGTGGCGGCGCCATCTGCGCCGTCACGACTACATTGCCGCGGCACCGTCCCCGGGAAGGAACACGAGGCGCCGTCAGCGCTCTTATTCTCCTCTCTGGCGGATTGGCGGTCATCAGACACCCTTTGACAACTCGAGAATGACATCTCGGGGATGCGGAGTGAGGACGCAGAGACGTCCGCGTTGGGGTTCCCCACGGCCACACCCGTTTCAATCCTGGACCAGCGATCACCCGCTTTTAGCGGCTCAACGGCTGCCGCTGCTGCATCTGCATCAGTGGCTGTCGCGGCCGCTGCGACGGTGGCAACCTGACCAAGTATTTCATCGCTGAGCGACATTAACGGCACTTGGCAGCTGCTGGAAGGGCAGCAGCATTCCGCACCAGCGCCATCCGTACGCCCGGCGCTGTGTGAGGCCCTCCTCGCGGCGCAGCTGGGACAGCAGGCCGACGGTTTACAACAGCCCGAGCCCGTGGCCCCAAGGTGAGTGATCGTAGCGCCGGGCATGCTCTCGGTCCTTAGCCACTGCTGCACCATGTGCCTAGGGGAGGAGAGACTCAACCACGTGGCCACCGCGCCACGTCCCAGCGCTAGACCCGACTGCGCATCCGCGTCCTCGCTCTCCTCCTCAAACGCCCGCCACACCTCCTCCTGCGACTGCCGCTGCTGCTCCTCCGCTTCGGCGTCGGAGACAGAGCCACCGTCGTCCGCATAGAGTCCCAAAGGGTCTCCGCCGCCGCCGCCGCTGCTGCTGCGTCGGTACTGGGGGCCACCATGCCTCGAACCTATCCCCATCACGGTACCTGCGCTATTGCCAGCTTGGTACTGGTGATCCTGAGGCGGGCCCGGGTGTTGTGGTAGTTCGCCCTGGCCACTTAGCCGCGACTCGGACCCCCAGCGCTCTGTGACCTGCCCGCTGATCTCAGCCCCGCCTTGCCAGTCACTAAGGCTTGCAACATGGCACGGGACGCCACTGCCACCCACCGCGGCGGCGCTTCCCGCCGCCCCCCCTCCCCAACGGGCACCCGCTGTCCATGGGTCGGCGGCTTCCGTCCGGCATCCAGCGCTCTCCTCCCACTTCTGCAATGCTCCGGGAATCGAGCATCGGCGACCTTCTTGCCATGGCTGCGCTGCCGCACTGCGCCACTGCCCGAGTTGGATGTTGTGCAATGCGGGCGCCGCAGCTGGACCGCCCTGGGCCATGCCCGTGTCCATGCTGCCACGCTCCTGGGACAGGTGGCTCTCCGCCGTGTTGGATTCGCTCATGGAGTCGTAGGTGTCCGTCAAGCCGCCGCGTAGGCAGCGTCCACAGCCCAGAGATGGGCTGCGCCATAGCATGGCATCAATCAGCCCCGCCACGCCGGCCATGACGTCCGTGAGTGCTCCCGCAGGCAACTGCAGTTGCGCTAGCTGCTGCTGCTGCTGCGTGTTTGAAAAAATCCCAACGGGATCGGCGCAACCGCTGTCAGCAAAGGCTTCGGTGCCGGAACTCAAACAAGCGCCGGACCTGTCGTACGGGTAGGGCGCAGCTGGAGAACTGCCCTCCGGAACGGCTGCTGCTGCGGCGGCGGCAACAACGGCGGCAGTTGCCTGGCCGCACCCTGCGCCACGCGCTTCACCTGACGACCCGGCCTGGCACAAGCCCCGGTGAGGTTCCGGGAAGCAGCCCCCCCCAACGCTTCCCTCCATGATGCCTCCTGCCTCACCGCCGCTGTTCCTCATGCTTGATGGTGGCCACCAGGCGGCTGCGCTAGCGCGGCTCAGGCCGCTGCTGCCCGAGGGTGTCAGCAAGCTCAGAGAACCGCCGCCGCTGCCACCGCCACAAAAGCCCGCGCCACCGCTGCTGCTACCATTCGCGCTCCACAACGCCGCCACCATTGCTTGGTGCACCGCCGCTGCGGAGGCTAGCTCCCGCAGACGGCCGTCCAAGCTGCCACGGCGCGCGTAGCCACCAGGTTTGCCACCAAGCCGGCAGCGGCGCTTAAGTGCCGCCCGACCGGCAGTGCGGAGGTCCGAGAAGAATGCCCCAAAGGCGCTGTCCAGGCGGCCACAGGCCAGCAGCAGTCGGCATGCGACCGCAAGGGTTGACACGGGCCGGTCCATGCCGGCAGCCAGGGAGGGGCCGGCACGAGCCGGGGAGGCGCGCCCATCTACAAGCAGCTCACCGTCAGGTGCGCCGATAACAGCTGCGGGCTCCGGAATTATGTCGGCGGCACCGTGGCCTGCTGCGGCATCCTCGCCGACCCACGGGTCATACTCGTGGGCGTCCATGAAGTACTCATCTTCGAGGTCCTGAGAGGGTTGTGAGCAAAGCCACGGCAGCGAAAGCCACGCAGCAGCGCGCAGGCAGCGGGAGCGGTGGTAATCGAAGAGTAATGTAAGCCATCCATTAGGATTAGAACGGGAATCTAGATGCCTGGACAAAGTGGCAGCACGGGCGCGAGGACGGAATGCCCAAACTTCCCAAATAGCGCAAGTCCGCAGCTGTGACAGACGGCAGCAGGATAAAGGCACCTCAAAAGGCTCCGAGCTGCTGGTCCCAGGTGGCGATCACGCGACTACTCTCGGCAGCAACACGATGCCGCCTCAAGTGCCCACCCCAACTCCTGCTCGCCACAACCCCCTGGCGCCAGATCAAACAACACAAAGCTCCAACATTGGCCGAAGGCCTGGCTAAGGCACGCATCCAAGCAGCACGGCAAGCGGCACATAGGAGGGCAAGCAGAGGTGACTGCTAGCGGACGATGCTACACGCCGCACCTGAAGGCCTCCAAGGGCCTGCGCGCCCAGGAGTGCCGCGTCCGGCTCCCAAGCCGCATCCGCGCCTCCTCCCAGGATACGCCGCTGGTCGTGTGCTTGGCCCTGCTCATGCAGGTGCGGATTGACGCCTCCCATACCAGCAGCAGGGACGGTGTTGGCTGATGGCCGCTCTGAATCTGCTCGGTGAGGTGCCGGAGCCAGCAGGAAGCCTGCACACAGAGGAAAATATCAAAATGATGGAAATCAATCCAGTGGGTCTGGAAGCATAAACCGATGGAGGAAACACTGAGAGTTCAAAGCGAGCTCCGTGGGTGTGTAGGACCGTGTGTACCTTTGCCCGCTAGTCTGCAGCTAATGGCTTCATCATTACCGCCAGATCAACAGTGCGAAAGGAAAGCGGACCTCCTGAGGTCACGGTGCGCCATGTCCGCCTACGGCAGCCCAAGCTGTGACCCTTCCGCCCCAAACCCGAGGGCACCGCTGCGGGGCTCTTTGCCATGCCATGCGTCGGCGATTTTTTTACCTGCCACATCCGGGGCGAGGAGGGAGTGGCAAGCCGGCGGCGCCGAAATGATGTGGCATAGCGCCAATGGTGCATCCACAAGCTGTGAGGCCGCAGCCGAGAGGGCGCCATGCCCCTCAGTACCAAGCAGCTGGCGCACCAGCTGGCGCCGCAGCGCCAACGGCAGCGCCGCTGCGTGCAGCAGCCAGTTCACCGCATGGTCCGCCACCGCCTGCTGCAGCAGCAGCCCGGCGCTATGCGGCTGCGACAGGGTGTGCAATAGGAACTGAGATATTACTTCACAGGCGCGTGCCGCAGGTTTCCTGGGAAGCGCCGCCGCCGCAGGCACCGCCGCTGCCCTAACACCGAAAGTCCCGGAAAGCCCCGTGTCGACGCCAGCCCAAGTATCAACCACTGCCGATTCCGATGCTGACGCCGTTGCCACGCCGCGCGCCCGGCAAAGCACCTCGCACATGTAGCCAAAGGTGGGTGAGGCCAGTAGAAGCTGACTCGCCCCCTGCGCCAGCTGCGCGTCCGCGTCTTCAAGTAGCGCCAGACATGCCAAGACAGCTGCCGCCGTTACCGACGCCTCCAGTCCCTCCCAGCCCTGCACCAGTCGCACCAGCACCTCGGCCGGCGGGCTCTCCCTGCAGCTGCACTCGGCCCCCTGTAAGGCCACTGCCTCTGAGGCCCATAGTCCCTGCTGCAGCAGCGCGTGACCGGACAGAACTGCAAGCTCCATTGCCTCCAAATCCACTGACGCTCCCGCCGGTCCCGTGTAAGAGGCCGCATTCCCAACAGAAGGTTGAGATTGAGCGCAGGCAGGCAGCGCCCACCCTGCATCGAAGAGAAGCAGCAGACACCAGCTGCAGTTACGGAGCACGGCATCAATTAGAGACTCTGGTAGCTGTCTGCGTGGAATAGTGACGCAGTGCCCGTGCTGCTGCTGTTGCTGCTGCTGCGTGAGTAGCGGGTGCTGGTGCTCCTGGTGCTGGTGCTGCTGCTGCGTGAGTAGCGGGTGCAGCGGCGGGTGGTTGTTGGCGGCCTGCTGCTGCTGCTGGACAGGATGAGCAGCTGCCGCACCCGGGCACGGATTCCAGCCCACCGTGCAGGAGCTGTCCGGTGTTCCCTGGCTGGAGGACGATGAGCGCAGTTCCGAGGATCTAGCAGATTTACATGCGAAGGCCGAGCAGGCCGCGCGGCTGCCCGGGGCAGGATTGTCCCGGAGGTCCACAGGAAGAATAGCGCGCATGAACGCCGCGACTCGTTCGGCCCTGATACCCCGGGAAAGAGCCTTACGGGTCTCGGGAGGGCCGCTGGCTAACTGCACCAGCAACCAGCTCGCCTGCCATGGAACGGAGACAAACAGCGGTGGAAGCGGAAGACTTAGGCGGTCCAGGGTGTGCTGGAAGTGTTCGCATTTATGAGTTCCCTCCCCTGGCATCCCATCAGTGCTATGGAGTGCAATCATCGGCACGGCATGCCCTCTACCCTGGGATCGGTGCCCTGGCCGGTACTGTACAGCTGGCCCATAAGAAAGGGGTATGCCTTCACGGTGTTCTGGGGCCCTTACGCCTTGCCATGCGACGCCCAGGACCAATAGGGATAACGGGGGCGTGGTAGGGGCCCCGTAAGCCGTGGCGCCACCCACCTGCAGGCAGGCTGCACCCAGCGCCGTTGGAGCGGATTCCACGTCCGCAATATCATCGGCGACAGAAGGCAGCAGCTCATCAGCATGCGCAGGTGCATCTGACGGCGTCCTGCGCGGCTGCCTTTGCGAGGGGCATTGGAGCTGGGCATGGCAGAGCTGCCGAATCAACCTGGCTAAAACGGAACTCAGAAACTCTGCAAAGCCGCCCTTGCACAAGGCCTCGACCCTCGCGGGTTCCTGTTAAGGTCGGTCGGACAACAGGACTGTTTGAAAACCCATACAGGTGACCAGCAGCAGCGGGGCTTGCGCCAAACCCTCCGAGGACAGCCACTAACACAGTCCGACGCGTACGTTTGCGCACCTGGAAGCCCTCTTCAACCAGAGTGCCGAGTATGCCCGCCAGTTGGGGCAGATCAAAGGCGTCTACATTAGAGGCAATATCATCCAACGGCTCTGTCACTGAGCGGCTTAAGGAACAAAGCTGGGATGCCGGCACCTGGAACAATAGAAGTCACGCCGGTAAGGATACATCGCATCTTGCTACGATGACAGGATACAAAAGGTGAGCTTCATAATGAACGCCCCGCCTCGTACAATACAAGCTCAGCTTCAAGACCGTTAAACTTGATAAGCCCGCAGTGGGCCGATTTCGCGCACCTGGTGTGCATGTTGCTCCGCATGAGGGTAGACAAGACTGCAAGGCTTGCTCCTTACGTATTTTTGCCTGCAGAGCACATGCCGCAAACGACGCTGGGACCAGCCAAAATTCCGTGCCCCAAGGCCACTGCTGCAATCATATTTACCTCTTAGCCCGTTTAATAACACAGGCTTCGGGAATCTGCCTGATTGGTGATTGAAACCTGAGGCACCGCCTGGGGTTGGAAGCGTCAGCTGTATTTTAGCAACGAAAACAGACCCAACAGTAGCAAATATAGGTTGCTCACCAGTAGAAAGCAAGGATTGCAATAGCGGCCGCTGCGAGTAGGAATGAATAAGCCGGCATAACATGGTGTAGTGAAGCAGGAAAGACACCATGGAGCCATGGTGTCATGTAGCCAGTCATGTTCTGCGGCCGCGCCTCGGACTCGCTAAGTTGCAAAGACGAACATGGTAAAGCTTACTATCACTGAGCTCGCGCAATAGCTTATCCCCATGTGCTGATATCGCTTTCCTTCCATGCAGTGTGAATATGCGAAGGGCATCGCATAGCTTGTTGCGCTGCGGTGCTTGATCGTATTGCAAGTCCAGCACCGCACCGTACCAGCGATGTACCAGTACGGAGCAGGACCGCGCAAACGCCGCTTGCATGATCCAACCGAAGCAACGTATACGATGCGTAAAGAAGGGTGCATCCAAACAGCCGCGAGGTAATGCTGCAAATCTGCAACACCTATAAAAACCTGCTCGACAGCCATATGAGTGCAAGGTCCACACTTCACCTATGATTCTTGTCGAACCACTGTGTGGGTGCCCTAGGTCATCAGGAGGCGAGCTCGTACGGCTCAAACGGACGTAGAGGCTCATGAACCGCTTGGACAGCGCCGAAGATAGAAAAAAGAGAAAAATTAAATAGGAAATTTTTATGCAAAAACGGATGTTTATGAGGACAAAGAACGTCAAACTTGACTCTAACGCAAATGCCTGTTATCGCAGAAGAAGTTAGGTTGCTAGGTTCTCAAGCCGTAAACGAAACATCTCAAAAATTAATTCCTCAAAGCCGAGCTGATCACCTATTTGCATGGCATCACGAATATCCGCATTGACGGGCACACCGATATCCCAGAGCCTCTGCCGCGCAGACACAAGCGCCGAACATTCTACCAAGAAATGTTTCCCATCCTCAATGGCTCCGTTGCTACGACACCGCAGCACACACGCGATGCTTCCTAGACCTGTTGCCCTCACTGTTAACCGCCAATCGGAGACGCACAACCGAAAACGGAGTAGGGCACGATGATGCGCCAGGGGGATATAGCCCGCAAACGGCTTCGGCAGCCCCATCCAATGCTTGTGACGACACATTTTCACACCGGGCTTCCTACCGTCCGTAGCGAAAGCTCTATGGTCCACAGCCAGCCTATCATTCGCCCAGTCGTCGTTGACACGTACCCTGGCGGGCTGGTGCTGGAGGCTGCAGCTGTCCAACTTGCCGTGATGTGCATCTCGAAGGGACAAATGCCGCATCAGCTGTTCCCCTAACCTAGATGCCTGCACGTTGTCGACAGTATCTCAACCCCCCCCCCCGAAATATACATATACCTGATATTCGTAATGCATATTATTTCTCTCCAAGCTGCCCGTGGAGGGGCCTAAAGCTGCTGGTGTTGTGCTCTTGTCGTTGTTTCGTGGCCGGTGCTGCAGCTGGTGCTGCAGCGGCGGCGGCGGCAGCGGCAGTGGCTCTCGAACTGCTGCTCTGTGCCGACAGCGACACCGATCCAGTCCGCCTCTCATATCCTCGCCTTCGCTCGCGGTCAGCCGCCGTTCCTTGTCCTCACTCACCATCTCGCTGACACTCGTCAACCATTCATCGTCACTCACCGTCACTCATCCTCATTCCTCACCCTCTTCCTTCTAACTTACCCCTCAGCCATTCATACCACCTTATCCTCTGGCTCACCCTCTGGCTTACGTAGTGGATGGGCATGAAGGAAAGCGACGGGGACGGCATAAGCGAGATATGGGGGCGGTAAGGTGGCATCACGAGGAGGTCTATAGGAAGGGGGAAGTGACTAAGGGACGCGAAGGGGACAAGTTGCATGTACGTAGGAACCAGGGGGATGCACCATGCAGCCGGCGCGAGTTGATGTGTAAATGGTCTCGGTGTATGGGACAAGGATTGGGGTGCCCGAGCCGGACTTGATATGCTAATGCGGGCTGAGGTTGTTTGAGATGTGCGGGCCTGAGCTAGATTGGGGATGAGGCTGTAAGGTAGTAAGGCGACCATGAATGGCCTGTAGGTGGATGCCGAACAAGTATCTGCTTTAAGCTGAGCATGACACGCTGGAAGTCAAAAAGATAAAGTTCGGGTATCTTTGCCGTCCTTCAGCCAGTTTACCGTACATGCGCCAACTTGCACTGAGCGCCATGCGAGATACGGGTTATCGCTGTAACGGCATTGTTCATTATTTGGCATGCCATATAATAGGGTATCCTATATATTATGGTATGCCCTCACGATCATCATGCATGAATTTGTTTGTTATGGGTCGCCCTAAATTTTGGAATGTCACATATTGTAAAATCTTATGTTATGTGGGATCCTTGACCGGGAGACCTAGCTGCGGGCCGGCTACAGTGGGACACAGGCCAGCCCCGCCTTTCAGCGGGTTTTTGGGCTGGCTGCTTACCGCACAGCTTGCGTGGGTAGCTGCGTTAGCCTTCATCCCTTTCTGTGCACCAACTCAAGATGGCGGGTGTGGCTGCATGGCTATGTGCTGCCTGGTTACCACACACGGTAGCAGCCCTGAGGAGAAAACCGTTGGGTCTATCAGCTTGCCTTATGGTCATGACAGCACATCGGTTTGTAACACTGCCTCTGTTGTTTTGGTCACCAAAGTGGCATGAGGACACGGCTTTGCTTCGCGTGCTGCGCTTACTTCCTCTCGTCGAGGTTATTGTCTGTGTCTCGAGCCCCGTGCTCACACCGGTAAGAACTGTGGCCCGGGAAGAGCGGCTTACGCAAGCCGTGCGCAAACAAGCATCTTGCAGACTCCGCCTGTATGCCCGCAGGCGCCGTTATGGTTTGATATTTTTGCTGGTGCTACGAACATTGCTTTGGTTCTTTTCGCCACCCTTGGTCTCGGTGAACTAGCCGCGTCGCAACTTGTTAGCAATGCTATTCTCGTGGCATGCCTGTGGGCTGCAAGTACTGTCGGTTGCGCATATTGGTCAGCTGTACAGCGGCAACGTGGCCGAGCACAGCGGCGGCTAGTGCAAGGGCCTCCACGTCACGGCGTCCAGCCTAGTGCTGGCGTTTCCATTGCGGAGCCGGGCGGTGCCTCCACAGTTGCAGGGATTGCCGAGCTCCTGCAACAAGGTAAGGTGCTGGAGGGTGCTGGTGAACGCACATACCTGAAGCCATATTCCTGCTGCCCATCTCCACCGAGTCTTCGGCCCAGTTCAGTTTAGGAGCCGCACCAACGCCATGACCTGGGTTTTTTCCTGGTGCGTATATCGAAGTGCAGCTCGCCGTCCTGCTGCTGCTCCGAGTAATCAGCACAAGGAGCTTTGCAATAGGAGGCCGCCGGAGGCCACCACGGCCGTTTGGTGGAATGCCGTACAGGCCAAACGCTGCAGCGGCTGCTCATAATGCAACTCATAAAGTCACTCTCTATCTTCATCACTGACGCACGTTCATCACGCACATGCCACCCTCCCCTCACACATACACACCGCGTCGGCTTAAGATCATGGAAGCGCTTCTCCGCATTCAGCCCACAGGTGCATCGTCCACATAACACACACACACACACACACACACACACACACACACCGCAGCCATTGGGAAGCGTGCAGAAAGCACCTCTCACCTCATCTCGTCTCCTCACCTCCCATGCGCATACCGCAACACCACAACCCAGCTGCATGCACACAGACTACATAACAACAGACCCATTATCATTCCATACGTCTGTACGGCTACAAGGTTTGTTGACGTACGCAAGCGGCCGTTCCTTCCTGGCACTCATCATCCGGGGGCCGCCATCCCTCGACCCTGCACCCGGGGTCGTCCCGCAAATCCGCTTGCAGAGGAGGCGGTCCACAGCGATAGCACCGCCAACATCAACAACAGTGGTGGCGAGGGTGCCATTCCGAGCAGCGGCATCACCCTCTTGTCTCCTGTCCAATGCGGCTCGGGGAGGCTGGGCCCGGTGGCCGCAACCGATAGCGGCAGCGGCCGCTGTGGTATCGCGCTGGATGTGGACACCGGGTGCAGCCGCCGTAGCACGGGAGCTCCCTCACCTGAGCCCCACCGGGTGCGGCCGCCGCATGCTCCGGCACTCCCCAACGGTGCAGCCTGTGCAACTCCAGTCACACCTCGCGCAGGGATGGCAGTCTCAGCAGAAACGATGGCCGCGCTCAGCACCGCTGCCGCCGTTGCTGCTGCTGCAGCCGCGCAACAGCAGCCGGGACAGGATGTACGAGGGTTACAACTTCAAGAGCTCAGCCTCCCTTCGCCGGCCGCCACCACCGCTTCCCCGCTGGACAGCGCGTCGCGTCCTCTGCCGCCGTACACGCCCTTCCGCCCATCCCTAGACGCGCTGGTGACTGCCAAGCTTCCTGCACCTCGAGCCTACACTCCTTTCCTTCGCCACCACGTGACTCACGTGAAGCTGCAGGGAGTGGATCCCTCCATGATCCAGCCCGGCTACCAGGAGCGGCTGCGGCAGCTCATCCACGCGCGCACGGGCCGCTGGCTGTCGCATGTGTACGTGCGGGAAGGCTGCATTGAGCTGGTGCTGGATTGCGAGGAGTGGGGCTCGGGAGTGTTGACACGGGGGTCGGCTTGCAGCACCTGCGATAGCTACGGCGTCCCCGGCGGCATAGGCTTGGAGGTGGATGCGGAGGAGATGCTGTGCGATGCAGCGTCCGTGTTTCTCGATGGCGATGGATGCGGTAGTGGGAGGCGCGCGTCGGCGGAAGGCGAGGGTGAGGGCGGAGGCGACTTTGCGGGGACAGGGGCCTGCAGGGGCATGGGCGATTGGGATGGGAACGGCGGTGACGGCAGCGGCGCTGCCAGGAGCCGGCCGTCCCTGGCGCGGCCTCGGAAGGACAGCACCAGCAAGAGCACTAACAGCAGCAGCACTAGCAGCAGCAAGAGCGGCAGCAGCATGGGCAGCTCGGTGCGGGTGCTGGGCGACGTGGAGAGGAGTTGTGCGGCGCACGGGCGGAGCAGTGCTGCGGGAGATGCAGGAGGGCAAGGAGGGGCCGGTGGGGAGGTGCAGGCTGTGGAACGGAGAGGCGGGCAGCCGCAGCCTAGGAAGCTGAAGGTAAGTAAGGCTGTGGCGGGGTCGGCAATGGTGTCGCAAGGGTTCCGTATTGATGGGGTGTATGGGCAGGGCGAGGGCAAGGGGTGGGTAAACTATGTGCAGAGGCCAAAGATGGGGGGGAGCAAGATGCGGAGGTGCTGGGATGTCTGGGGGCCATTCGCTGCCGTTCTCACTGAAGCCCTTTGCCTCAGTCGTTTCCCTCGGCTGAGATGACGCCTCTGCTGCTCTCTCTTTTCATTCAGAGGGAGGAGAGTTCCATCCCCCCGCCAGTATATTTGCTCGCACGCGGCAGATACCGGTACTGTATCCGGGATGCCCTTAGTCAACAGCAAGGCGTTGGGGCGGGAAAGTCAGGAACACCCTACATCCCCCGATCCCGGCAACCCCCCGATCCGGCCGACCCTGACATTTCCGTCCCACCCCACCGTACCCAACCCCGCATACTTCAAAGGAGCCTCCCCCGCCTTTTTGTATATCAAAGGAAAGGGTAGTTGCTGGAATCCAATTACAATCCAGTAACCAACCTATGGCCCACCTGAACTCAATCCCCAACGAAGCCCCTCATCACGCTCCAACACCTAACCATGCTGGGTAGTTTTCGCTTCCCCGACACCCTTGCTTGCTCCTTCCCCCGCCCGCCCTGCCACACCCCAATGCGCCGCAACAGGTCCCTCGTGCACTTCTGGGCCAGCAGCAGAGCTCCGGGGGGGCTGCGGTCTCCGCAGCCTCAGCGCCGCCTTGTGCCGCCATGTTCTTGTCCGCACCGGCCGCTGAACGCACGGCCTCGCTAGACTGGCCCACGACCTGTGTCCACTGCGATGACCCCGGCACACCATCAGGGGGTCAGGGGCTTCCGGGGCCTTGCGGCCTAGGGGGTCGACGGAGGCTGCGAACGGGGCAGCAGCATGTTGACCCGGTGAACTGCGCGGCAGCGGAGGTGGCGGCGCTGCTGTGTGATTCGACGATGGAGGGTGTGGGCACCTGGGAGGTAGTGCGTGCGCTGCAGCTGCAGCCGCAGCCTTTGGGGCCTTGCGGGGATGGCGCCGGGGTTGGCGGCAGCCGCGAGTTTAGCACTGGTGGAACTGGTATCAGCACCGGCGCGGGCGCTGGTGCGGACGCGGGTGTGATTGGTCGCGGTGGCGGCTTTTCCCGGCATCAAGCTGGGGTGGCGATGATGGCGCCGACGTTGTTGGAGGGTCGAGCTGCTGCTGTGGCTACCGCAGCTGCCCGGTCCCCGCTGGGGTGTTTATTGCTGCATGGAGGAGGAGGAGGAGGAGAGGATGATGGACGATGCAGCGGCAGCAGTGAGGGGGAGCACAGCGGCTCTCGGGCCATGCGCGGAGGCAATGGCAGTGGCGGCGGAGGTGGAGGTGGAAGGTTGACGACCGCGAACGGCGGTAGCGGTGGGGATGCCTCGGCCGCTGGTGGCGCTGGCGACGCAGTATCGGGGACGGCAGCGCAGAGGGTGGTGTTTGTGTGAGTTTGGATGATTGGGCTATAAAGGTTTGATCTCCCCCTGGCTCGCCGGGTCTTTGGTGTGGGGGCCCCCGGTCAAGCAATGCGGGATATGTCCCTGTTATATCACATGCAGTTTGGGAAAAATGAGAGCTCTCTAAGACCCATAATGGACATGTAGATGAATCCCATCTATGCGTATCTAAGGGCTTCCCACATCGCTATCTGAACTGAGGGCAGTGACCTCGTCGCTATCTGGACTGTCGGCGGTTCGATACCTGTCAGGGACATGTCGGTTGACTCCTTGCTTCCTGCGTTTGTATTTCCCTCACTCCCTTGCTCTCCTTATCCTGTGCCTTGCGCTGTTACTGCTGTTCGGCCCCCCCCTCCCCTTTCCCCCTCGCCTTACCCCCCTCATCCTCGCCGGCCGGCCGGCTTCAGGGAGGGTCAGGCCACCACCCGGCCGCTATGTGACAGCAACTCACGTTGGGCTCGGGGCCACCCCCGCATCACCTCCCTGGAGCCCCGGGTCCTACTGGCAACCGAACCGGCTCCAACAGTTTCAACTACGACGACCACCATAACCGCAATGGGCCGTTCCGCTGCCGCTGCTAGTGTTGCTGGCAGTAGTAATAGAACTGCTGCAACTGCTACGAGTACGGCTGCTGCAGCGGGGATTGTCGTGGCCCGCCCTGGAGCTGTACGGTCTGCGGGTGCTGTGTCAGCAGGGGCTAGTTCTTCCGGGGACGGGGGACTCCCTCCGCGGGTTCATCACAGGCAGCAGCAGCCGCCTGTGACTGCCCAAGCCGCGTCAGGGACTACTGTGACCGCGGCAGCGGCAGGAGCAGCGGGGGTCGAGCGCGTGGAGCCGCCCCTGACATTGAAGGTGAGGAACATGCTTCGTTGCAGCCACTGTGTTCAACTATTTGTCTGCAGAGGGCGGATGTAACTTGCCGAGTCCCCCGTCGTATCCCTATTTTCACCCCGATAAGGCCCGTTGCATCCGTTCTCAAGTTTTGCATCTGGCTCCAACCCACCGCAACCCCCGCCGCTTCGCCCTAGCCGGAGCGGAGTGTTCGTCGCCTATTGCCGCCTACGGTTACTTCGATCCGTTCCGTGTTGAAATGCTTTCGGAAGCCGTCCACGACGATATCCCTAACTCAACGTAACGCCCCGAACCTCCAGACAACGGATTGCTTCCCTCCAAAATTTACCCCCGGGTCCCCTCAGGTGGTGGTACGATGCAACTCGGAACTACTTTCCGGGGCCTCCCTGGAGCTACTGGTCCGATCAGAAGGCCGCTACCTGCCGGCAGTTGTCGCGAGCGGCGGACAGCCGCCTTCGCACGGTGGCGACGATGCGGCCGCGGGCAGCGACGTCGATGGCCGCCTGTCGTACAACATCGAGCTTCCGCTGTCTTCGCCGCATTCGTCGCTGCACCCGCCATCGCTGCTGCTGCGGCCTGGGATTATGTTGGTGGACCTCCGAGTGGCGGATGTGCCGGTTCACGCGGCACCAGTTGTTGTAGTCCGCGACCCAAGAATGGTTTCGGAGCTGCGTACGGCGCTAGCGACGGCTCAGCTGTCAGATGATGACCGCGACTCGTTGCTGATGGATCTGGGCACCTGGGTGTTCCACGCAGCTGCGGCGCGTCAAGAGGTTGCTAATGCGCGCGGTGTCGGCGGTCTTGGCGGCGCCGGCGCGGCTGCGGGCTCGGGTCAAGGTCTGACCCATGGGTCGCAGGGTGCTTTGGGATCCGCTTTGGCCGGGGCGGTGCCAGCGCTGCCTTCCACGTGCCTCGTCGATGCCGGTGACGAAAGTGGCACTGAGCGTTTGGGGATGCTGGGACTGCACTTGTTGCGGTACGCGCTGGCAGCAGGCTGGTGGCATACGGCAGCCTGCCTGGCGGAAGACTTGGCGGCCATGGGCGTGAAAGAGGGTCTGGCGGCAGAGCTCGAGGTGGCGGCGGCGACGGCGGCAGCCGCCGCCCCTTCGACCAGATCTCTGGCGCCTCCTGGCGGCAACCCGCTGGAGTTGCATCGTGCTGTGACGGCCGACCCAGTGGCAATGGGGCCGGGTCGTGGTGCGTTAACGACGAGCACCCCAACGGTCGTGGCAATGCGGGTGGATCTTGATGAAGGCAAGGGAGCGCTGGAAGCGACGGCAGCGGCACGGAAGTCCTCCTTAGAACATCGGCCAGGCCCCGAGCCGCGATCATCGACCCATGCCACTGCTGCTACTACTGCTACTGCCGTTAATGCTGTTAATGCTGCTAGCACCACCTCCGCTGCTGCTGCTGCTGCTGCTGCTGCTAACCCGCGTACTGCGGCGGCTAGGAGACCGCCTGTGCCGGTGATTGGGCCACCTGCAGGTCCGCCGCGCCTTCGTTTGGCAGGTCCTCGGACTGCCGGGGCGACGGAGGGTCCCTTAGTGCGCTGCTGCCCCAGCTCCAGAACCAGGCTTACACAGCCGCCCGCGACGTCGTCACCGTTACAGCTACCTTCACCGCTGCAGTCGACCCCCGCCACTGACTTGGTTCCTCCACGGCCTGTCCCGCCCGTGTGCCAGCTGCTGCCGCCTCCGCGTCAACTCCGGTCGGAGTGCCCGCGTGATGGCGCAACAGCAGTCGCCGCGCCGCGAGTGCAGGGCGACAGCGGCAGCTGCGGCGGCGCGGCCGCCGCCGGCAGCGGTGGTTTTAATACTGCTGGCGGCACAGGGCAGGTTCGCCGTCGCCATGGTGCCGCGGCGCCCTGGCAAGTCGCCACGCAAATCTTGGCGCCCAGGGTGGCGGCTCTCAGTGCCAAAGTCCAAGACGCGCAACGAGGCCGACATGCTGAGGCGACGTCCGGCAGCCGCGCGGACAGTGGCAGTGCCCTCATCAGCGCAAGGCTTCCCGACGGCGACGCGGCGGCTTTCGATGCGGCAGATGCGGCGACGGCGGCGGCCCCCCCTCTGACGGCCCTGGATGCGCTGCTCGTGGAGACCGGGTTGCGGCGGTTGGGGTCCCCGGAGGCGGCGGCCTACCGCACATATGCGGCGCCTCGCATTGCCGCCCAAGGTTACGTCATGTGAGCGCGGTGGCGGGGTCCCGGGGTGAGGGGAGCTGCGGAGGTGGTTAGGTGGTTAGGTGGAGGATGGAGGAACCTCTCACAATACGTGGCCCGAACGTCCCCATGGGAAGGGGGAAGGGGGGTGGAGCGGGGAAGTATGTGGCGGCAGGGGTGCGGAGGTGGGGCGGTGGGGAGGACCCCTCCCTGTCGGGGAGATGTGGGCTCGGGTGGGGCTCGCGTATTGCTGCCGTCGCTGCTGTTGTTGTCACAGCTGGTTTGTAGACCGCCACCAACCGAACCCGTCACCTAATTACTAAGTTCCTTTTGTCCACCGCTCTGCTGTCGTCTGAGTCGGAAGTGGGGTCCTTCCTCCTCCTCTTCCTCTCTGAAGTCCCTGGCTGGTGGATCCTGGCAAAGCCTTGCACCCAGGGCGACGCCAATGCCAGCCTCCCCCCAACCCGTCTCCTCGCCGTCCCCTCCCTTTGCCCGTCCCACCGTGGCACATACCTCCCCGCCCCCTGCCTTGCATGTGAATACAACTTCTCGTCCCCTCACCCTCCTCCCTCTCCAGCACCATTCTGGATTTGTTGTCCCTGGCGGCCCTGGCGCTCCGGGGCTCCCGGGGCCCCGCGGAGGCCAGCTCGCGGGTCACACTGCTGGCCTGCTGGGTCAGCGTGCTGGAGGTGGCGATGCAGCTGAGGGCGAGGCGCGGGAGGTCCGGCAGCGGCACCGCCTCCACAGCCACCTCCATGGACTGGCCGAGGATACACCAGGTTGGGCCCAAGCTCGGGAAAAGGAGGGAAGGCCCGGGGGGGGGGGGGAGGTGACGGGTGTGCAGGGACGGCGGCGGTGGTCTGGGGCCTAGAGGCTCCGGGGTCCTTGCTTTTATAACGTTCTTATAACGTGGCCATTATATAATTGGGGTGGTCTTGTAATTTTGAATCCTTGATTGTCACAGACAGGTACAGTTCATGTTGTCTCCGTCATTTTTGAGGGTCTTCCTTTTTCGGGGAGTTTCCGGCAGGACGTCCTAACCCAACGTTGTTCGGGGTCTCTTTTGGGACCCCACGGGCCCCTTGCATTTAGCAGCATTGCTGATATACCTTTGCGCGCCGCGCAACTTCCAAGTCCTAGAGGCGTTACCGGACATACTTAACATGCTATGTGCTGATTCCCTCACCACCCATACTCAATAGCCCTCTGGCCCCCCCCCCCGGGGTGCTCCCCCGTCAGGTCTGCAAGTTGCTGCGCTATGTCTCGTACGTGGCGACCAAGCTTCTGTGTGCGCTGGGTATCGCTTCCATGCCTCCCGGGATCGACTGCTACGTGACCGGGGTGGCCATCTTGGTGCAGGAGGGTCTTGTGCACCCCGCGTCTTGCCTGGTGGGTGTCTGGAAGTGGCTGGCTGGCTGGCTGGCTGGCTGGCTGGCTGCGTAGGCCAGATGTGTCCTGTGGAGGGCCCCTCCTCTGAGAGTGAGGGCAGAGGGGCTATTCCGCGTTAGGAGGGGGCAGAGCAAGATGCGGGTTGGAAAGCGGCACCAAGGGACCAGGGGCAACAGCGCGTCGATGTGATTGAGTGCTGCGATGAGAACAAGGAGGCAAACGCCGGAGTGGAAGGCACATCACCAACATCATCAATGTAGTTGGCACAAAGACTGGTTTTGGTCTTAAGGGCCTAAGAGGAAGTCTATCGCCTGTCTGTCTGCATGTATCTCGACCCTCCCTCCCCGCAGCTGTCACTGCCCCTGCTGGCAGTCCTGACCTCGCTGAGGCTGGTGGCCAACGCCATGCTCGTCTTTGCGGTGGGTGTGCGGATACAGCCATGCGGGAGGGGGAGGGGGAGCGGGAGGGGGGAAGGCTGATATGGGGCCCGGTGGGGTATTTGGGGGGTGCGGGTTTATGTGTGGGAAGGGGAAGGGAATAAGCTGCGAGGAACGGGTGTGGAACGGGCAGAGGGGGAGGGATGACATGGGCGGCGGTTTGAAGGTAGAGGGTGACCATGACGGCTCGCGGAGAGGCTGCGGGCGGGCCGGGGTGGGTAGTCCATGGAGTTTGGTGGTGGGTACTGCAGGAGAGTATGATGCTGGGATCAAAAAACGGAAGTCGAGGGGGTTGACTGCCGGATTCCAAAGGGGGCGGAGGGGCCACGCCAATCTGGTTCCCGGGGATGTCGCCCCCGCGGGCTACCGCCCCCTCGGGCCCCATACCGACATTGCCTCGCCCTCCCCCGGTGCAGTGGGTGCGTGTAGAGACGGTAGAAACGCACGTTGGGCCCATACGCATGGCCAGGTGGGATTCCCAGGCCCGTCCGGCCGCTGCATGGCCTCCTCGCTCACGGCGAGCAGCTCCGCTCAACCCCGGGGCGTTGCCGCTTCTCTCTCTCTCTGAATTGAACACCGCCTCTTGTCATTGCTTTGGGCTCCGGCAGCAGTGGGTGCGTGTCGGACGCTGCACTCAATTCTCCGGCTTCTGCTCCCGTGCGGTCTGCTCCCCCCTCATCGCTTTGGCATCCGGAATTAAATTTTCCTCAGTTTCCCTCCCTGCGGGTTTGATGCCTCTGGGCCCCCCCGCCCCTCTCTTCCCCCACTCCCGCACACGCAGGTGGACCGCAGGTTCAAGGGCGGCCGGATTGGCTGGGGCGGCTCCGTGTACTGGGCAGCCGCCATCAGCGCCACAGAGGTGCTCACCTCGGTGGCACTCAATGTCCACTACCGTATGTCGTACAGTCGCTGGGCTGCCGACAAGCGCCGCCAGCTGGCCGCCCGGCGCCAGCCCTGGAGCTCTTCCTCGCCTCCAGCGGCTGGGGAGCTTGTAGCAGGACTGGGGGTATGCGGCGGGGGGGAGGGGAGTGGAGAGGCGCCGAGTGGGGGCGTGCTGAGGAGCCGCGTCCAGAGAAGGGGCTTCGGGCCGTCCGGGGGGTTGGGCCGTAGTTAGCGGAGAGGCGGTGGGGGGCGGGCTCCGTCCCGGGGTTGTGCGTCCGTGCTTGATGGATTGCTGTCTTGCTGTCCACCACCAGATAGAGCTGGGTGGCTGAGAGGGGCAGAGGGGGACTGCGCTTCGCTTGCATAGGGTGTGGACGGGTAGGTGGGTGAGTGAGCCGTGTGTGAGGTAGTGGCAGCGAACGAGAGGACGCCGAGGTAGGTGGGGCACCATGGCCCCAGACTGCCGTACACAGAGCACTGCCGTGTTCACGGTGGGCGGTCCTAGCTGGGGGGGCCCCTTGTTGAGAAGTTGAGCGGCGGACGGCGGCTTGTTGGGGGCAGTCGTGTGCGCCCCGAGGACTGCATCACCCTGCATTGCCTACCTTGTGGAAGTAGTGGCTGTCTAGCTTTCTCGCAACGTACTGGTAGGATTGCAGCAGCTGAACTGCATTGCGCATTCTGTTGGCGCGGATGCTGCAACGGCCAGCTGGCCACGACAGGTTTGGTCCATCGCTTGGTGCGTTGTCATTGTCACCCACTGGGTAATTCTGTTGCATGTCAGATTTTAGATTTTACATGGTCGTACATCGTTGCGGATGTGGTGTGATTGGTTACGGCTGCTAGCTTGGGGCTGCTACTGTTGTTCCCTTCACGGGGCTTCACGGTCAGTTGCTCTACTGGATACCTGCGTGCGGGGGAAACCGGAGGAGACAACCGTCTTGGCGCTGTGGGGACGTGGTCTGCTGCTGCCCAGGTTGGGAGCGACGGCCCGGGTGTTGATATTGGTGTGTTTTGTGTGGGTTACGCGGGTGCACTAGGCGAGTGTATGAAGCCCACGCACATCTGCCACATCTCACTTGAAAAGATTCAGAGCCCCAGCAGGATATCCGGGGAGCCTCCGGAGCCCCCTTCGCCTCTCTGGGGGGAAAGGGGATGGCGGACAGCATTTGGTCGAGGGCCTGACGTCATCTTGCCTGGCTACCGCGCCAGGGGGCCATATGGGCGGACACATCGGAGGCGGCGGAGGAGGAGGAGGAGGGGAAGAGACATTAAGAGGTACTTCCGGATACTTACGGAAACTCGGGCAGCTCTCGCCACTGCTGTTGCTGCTGCTCGTGCTGCTACTAACTGTCCACTGGTCGGGTTCCTTTCCACCGCACCGCTTGTTGTGTGTTATTGTCAGTGCAAGGTCTGTGTCAGCTGTATCATAACCATGCTGCATGTGTTTGATGCTTTAGATGGTTTAGATGTCAGTCAGTGTGCTATTGCGGACTGGGTGCGGCTTGGTGCGATGGGAGGTGAGGGTGTGGGTGATGACTAAGTTGAGTTGTTTGTTTGATTGGCTGTATTGGCAACTACCGTGTGGAGGTGCGGAACTGTTTTGTTTTGGTGTGTCTCCCTCCCTTGGCTGCTGCGCTTCCCATCGTGTTGTGGGGAAATCGCTGGCAGGGCCACGCACCCACCCTCCATCCATGTTGTTTCCGTTCCGCTTCCCAGCGCCAATGCGAGCAGTGTTGAAAGTATAGCGGCAGTAGGGCGTTTAGGGACCTACCTGTCAAGCTGCTGGATGTGGATACAGTAGGAATCACTAGCGGTGGTCTCGTGTACGATATCACATTGTGGGAGCCATGATCCCGATTTTCAGGTTGTATGAGGCTTTGTCTGCGGGTGCTGCCATAGTGGTCCATTACGAGCAAGCAACGGCTTGCATGAACACCGAGACTGCTCTGTTGGCAGCGTTGTTTAGTTTGTGTGTCTCAAGATATTAGTTTTGGTGGTTCGTGGCTCCAGGGGTGGCATCCAGCCGTTGATGCCCGTCTGTCGGAGTGTCCCGTTGGTACAGTGGCCGAGCTCGTTAACAAGCCCACCAAATTACAATTGCATAATTGAGTGATGAATGAAGTTCGCTGTCCTCGAAGCCCTCACCTGACAGGAGCCCGAAGGTTAACCCCCACAGCCAACTAGTTATGAGTTATCACATCGACCGTTCGGCCCAGCAAGGCGGCTGAGGGAATCTTCAATATCCGCAATTAGTTAATGTTTGCACGCATTGGCAACGCGTGCTATGCAAACATGCCGCCTGCTTTATCAACATTCGCGTACTGAAGGGCACTCGCCCAAAACGCCAAGGCGGCTGCACAACCCCTTACTTTTACACCCAGTCCGGAGCAACACCACAATGAATTCGACGCTGGTCGACGAAGGGCAACCCAATATCGGGACAGGCAAGCCTCGGCTCCGGAGGGCAAAGCTCGGTTCGGAACAAAAAACACATGTGAAGTGGAGACCACTAGACCACTAAATCTTGCGAACCCCGCACTCATAAATGAATGAGTGCTAAAACCAAAGCCACAGCCACACTTCCGGGCTTCCCGAGTTTTCAATACCATACAGGGTCAGGGCCCTTGATACGGCACGCCGCATGTGCAGCATCCAGACACATCCAGCCCCGCACAAAACAGACAAGTACACAGACGGACGAGGCAGACAGAAGGCAGCGCGCTATAAAAGCATGTCGACATTTACGCATGCAAGTCACCGAAATCACCTTTCCCAGGCTTATTGCTCTACCCCTCGAAAAAGCACTCTCCCGCCCGATCACGGCGGCCACCATCACCGCAGCCTTGCCAACAACGAACGGACACAATCGTCTTTCGTACAACTCGCTATAGGTTCAACGTAAGCGATTTTTTCCCTTTGACCATAATAAAAACCACGCAAATTTTAACACGCACATGCCCACAAAGCACATCACAAACACGCATTGTCCGTCGCGGCATGTGCGAAACGGAAGCCATGCGGCCTGACCACAGTCCGTGGTACTCGCTACTCTGCCCACACAACAATTTCTCACGGCGACAGTAAAGGAAATTCATATGATGGTATGATGGCCACCACCGCCACCTCCCGCGTCACCGCATGGCCCCCCAGCTCAATCAAAGTAGGCTAACATCAACTCGGGCCGGCCCCCTCCTGTGCACCCTCCTATAACTTCGACTGCTGCTGGAAATTCATCCTGCTATGTAGCTCTGTATTGCTAAACGGGTCAGGTTAAATCAAATCAGTTCAGGCAGATCGGACATAATCCTGTCAGATCCGGACATAAGGGGTTCCAGGGAAAACGAACCCTGTCGGCGGTCGCACAACGCACTTACACATAATAACTATATCCACATAGCTAATCGCACTTCCTCACTCACCCGGCCGTCGCAATCACTGCTTGCTCAAATGCGTCCCACCGCACACACAGCATTGGTCCGGTGTATACCCACCAACGCTGCGCAAGGAGGTGTGCATTTGGTCGCCGCAGGTGTTGAATCACGAGCTTACAACAACCCGTCCCTCCGTACGCACACACCCACCCGACATCCGTCCCGACTCGACAACCGGTCTCCAACCACCGGCGTATCTCCTGCTGTGCATGCACCACACCACACCACCGGATGAAAACTCCCGCCGCCCTATGAATGAATGCAGCCCCTCCGCACCCCCGACCTAACCCGGTCAAACACATTGACAGACGGACAGATTGACAGACAGACAGGGGCCCACCACCCTGCCACACCAGTGCACACTGCGCAACGGGGACTGCGCAGGCAAAACAACGATCAACGCCCAACGCCCAACGACCAACAACCAGGAGCCACTGCCACCATCAACTGACTCATCTTCCGAGGTTATCACACAAACAGATCCACGTCAGCAACACGGGCATATGACATGTGCGCCTGTGTGCGCGTGCGTCAGGTAGAGCCGAAATCAAAATGCGTCTTCATCTCGGGCGCCTGGAAGTCATATCTCGTTTTGCTTCTAGAGCTGGCCAGAGCTCTCTGCTCTGACACTGCCGTACAAGTAACATTTGGATACGTACAAGCAGCACATCAGTAGTAATTGAAATAAAGCCATCCGCAGCTGCAGTGCAAGAGGTATACAAGAGAATTCAACCCAGTGCAAGCCCCACAAGTAGCTCCGCCCCACTTGCATATCGCGGCCTTCAGCTCGGCGCTGATCCCACTTCGCAGTCCGTCACGGCATTGCTCTGGAGAAACCCCCCACGCCCGGAGAGCGACGGGCCTCGTGCGCCGCACCAATTCCCCCCTCTGACACGCACCCTTCCTTGCATACATCCGTACGCACATATGGACATACCTACAGACGTGCTGCCCACACACGCAAACTAATGAAGATGCACATGGATAGGCAGACAGGCAGACAGGTGCACAATATGCACAAATTTAGGCAGTAGCTTGCTGCACAACTTTAACCACGGAGTCAATAAGTTAGTGATCGCACAAGCAAACCATCTCCCTTGATGCCCCCCGAACCCACTACCCCACCGCCCTGTAGTGGAGCTCTCGGGGAGTTCACCGCACAGAGCGCGGCGCACCCGGCTCTCGTCACTCGGGTGCCCCTCCCGCGCCCCGGTGGGGAAACCCCTTTTCCTCCGGCGCACAGCGCTCTCTTGTTGCCCCCTCGTCGCCAGTCGGTCGCCACCACTCCCCACCACCGTCACAACCACATTCGCCATCGCGGTCAACAACACCGACGGCAAGAACATCCATCACCAACTTAGCAACTGCAAACAGCAAACAGCAAATACGTGCATCAACATCAACATCAACATCATCAACTACGCCAAAGCTCGACTATAACCCGGTGTCACCAACTCCCGTGGGGATCCCCCCCCCCCCCTTGCCGCGGTACCACCACCTCCTCCTCCTCCTGCTCCACCCTCCTGGCCAACAAAACACTTTATGAGATCTGCTTCCACTGCTTCCGCTGAAGACAAGTACTGTGTTACGTACGTATGTATGTATGTATGTAGATGTGTCGTCACTCAAGGTGCGGTGCTTTGGCCCACATCGACTATGTGTACACCCGTCAACACACAATAAATTGCGGAGTGAAATGAACTAAACCCCCTGGGACAGGGCTTAAATAGGCAACTGCTGGTCCCTCAAGCTGCTCAATCAGAATTTCCAACTTTTCACACGTCTCTCTCCCCCCCCTCTCCTCTCTCTCTCCCCCCTTTTTCGCACCCTCGCACCCGCATACGCGTGCAGTGCTCACCCTCTCTGCGCCCATGCCTTGTCGCATCGTTGCGGATATCGCCGCATACATACATACATACATACACATATACACACACCTCTTCGTACGATTGACAGGGGAAATTCCTCCGGGGTTCACTCACTGGCTTACTTACTCCATTCGTCAGCTTTCCTCTCCGCAAATCCATATAGCTATCAAGGCCTTGCAGCCCCTGCTGCCCGCCCGCCCGGCTGTGGCTGGACACCTACTTGATGGCCGCTCGCTCCCATCCTGCTGCCCCCGGGGTGGGGGTCGGGGAAAGAGTGCGGTGTCCATGATCTCTTCGGCCCCCCCAACAACTTCTTCATCATGCGCCTTGTTCCCGATCACCACCACCATCACCACCATCACCACCATCCCCCCTCCCGGCGCTCATCTGTTCACACCATCCCCTGGGAATCCCCGTTCACACAGATACGTACATACATACATTCATTCATAAATACATTCATAAATACGCACACCTGCCGTACACCTAACTCCCAACAACGCCCCTCTCCACACCATCCACACAGGTGGAGGGTCGGTAGGCCCCGGGCCGGTTAGGGGGGAAGATAAATACTCACTCAGCGGTCGTACCGTCAGTGCAAGTTTTGTGTATGTATGTCTGTGTGTATGTCACTCCAGCGCTGCCAGCTCCGAGGTGATGGTGGCCACAAGGTCGGCGGCCCGGGGCCGCTGGGCGGGGTGCGCGGACCAGCATGCGGCGGCTAGGCAGCTACGAGGAAACAGCGTGTGTGGGGGGGGGGGACGGGGGGAGGGAAGAGGGGCGACGAACGGGACGAGCTGAGGTGGTGGAGTGGGGGGAACCGCGCGTGGAGGACGGGGGGTTGGAAAGAAAAGGTGGCGGCAAGTGTTGGGAGCTCTAGACGGAGAACCGCCCCGACCAGCGGAGGAGTCCTGCGAGTCGACCGACCGGGGGAGGGCGCAGTGGAGCTGTCCGCGCCCCGGGGATCCGAAAGGGGGGGGAGTGCTGAACCCAAAAAAGTTCACTGACTCACAGAATTCGGCTCCCACACATGGGGGGGGATGAGAAGAATGAGGTTACCGCGAAACATAGCACTGGGGAACGTGGTAAGAGGGACTGCCAGGCTAGTGGCCACACGCGGGTGAAGGTACACTTTCCCCCCTACTTCACACAATCATACATACACACACACGGTTTACCCCCACAAACCCCCCAACCCCCACCTCCTTTTCCCGAATCCGACGATACCCCCGTCTCCGCAAACTCACCGATACGGTTGCGGCACATTCTCCGGGAAGGCGGGCCTCCCTCCCTTGACCACCAGTCGGGGTACTCGCTCCAGAGGCACCTGGGAGTACGGCCGCAAACCCCCCGCCAGCAACTCCCACATCAGGATCCCGAAGCCGTACACGTCAGCCGAAGCGTCCAGGCGGGGAGCTGAAGGGGAGTCCGGCGGTGTGCGTGTTTCGTCGTGGGAGGGGAAAGCAAAAACGGGCGGCGTGAGGAGATTAAAAATTTGTGGGGAGGTAAGGATAACAACCCCGCCGCCCACCCACACAAACAGAACGGTCCTCCTCCTTCCCTCCCTCTCCCCACCCTAACTCTACATGTGCGAATGTGTCCTAATATCCCCCGTTCCCCCTCCCCCCCCCTCCCCGGTGGGGCCCCTGCTGCCACATCCCCCGGGCAACAGCCCCCGGGCAACAATGTGACGGCAGCTGGTCCCTTCACCCCACTACCCCCCTATTTCCCACTGCTCACTCTTGTTGAGGGCCTCGGGTGGCATGTGGGTTACACTGAGGAGGAGGAGGAGAGGAGAGGAGGAGAGGAGGGGGAGGGGGTGAAAAGCAAGGAGGAGGTTGTCGAGGGCCCCGCGCGGCAGGGGTGGGTGGGGTGAAGGTGTTAGGGGGGGTACCATAATTTCAGCGGCGATGGTGATGATGGTGATGGTGATTACGATTCTGCGGATGGATGATTACGATTATGGAACAGCAGTACATCGGGCCGTATCTGGCCGAGCATTCTGGTCCTGGCCTAACGCAGCTGCCCTGGCCCCTCCGAACGAAAAGGCGGCGGTGATCATTTCATTTCGGAGCTGATTGCCCAATGATTCATTTCAACACCGGGACGAAGAAGCCCTGCCCCCTCCTGGTTGCCACAGGCCTAGCGATGTCTGTAGGGTGTACGGCAGTACGACCTTCAACTCACGTTCCGGCGGGCTGGTCGACAAGGACGTATCGGCTGCCGTCCGCGTCCAGCTTCAGTTGGTTTGGGGTGAGGTGGGGTGGAGGTGGGGTGGAGTTGGGTTGGGATGAGGGGGTTTGGTTGACTTGTAGAGTGATACCAGTCAGACAAACACATCCGAATCATCAACTGCCGGGTTACAAGGCAATGACGCATCTTCCCCCTGAGCGCGGGGTGGGGCAGGAGGTGGAGTTCGGGGCCGGATCTGTGGTTCAGCCGGCACACGGCACACGGCACACAGCCGCAACTGGGCGCCCACCTTCCTCCCCCCCCTTGCTGTCCCACTCCCCCCCCTTTCCCCCCTCTTTGGTGGGCTTCTCTCTCCCATCACTTCCCCCCCTCCCACCCCCACGTCTCCCGGGGGCACACCTCGTTCAGCTTCATCACGAAGCCAAAGTCCGCCAGCTTGACCGTGAACCCCCGCGGGTCTGCCGGGTGGACTGAGGAGCAGATTGGCGGCCTG